ATTTGTTAGGAGGATTTTACTTTTATATATATATAGATATAGATTGGGGGAGAGGCTTTTTCAAAATTCTTTTATCCTTCAAATGAGTTTTTTTTTTTCTTTAAAAAATATGGAAAATAGTCATGTGATAGCACACCTACTTCCACTGAGCGCATTTCAATAATGTGTTCATTGATGGCCCGTTTGGTTCACGGAATAGGCTGGGAATGACATAGCATTTCCAGTAATAGGCCTATTCCGTTGTTTGGTAACCATTTCTATTACCAGGAATTATATTCCTGGTAATAGCCTATTACCTCAAATAAGGTAATACCTATTACTAGGGCCCCACCTGGTATTAGCCTATTACTGAACGCTCAGGAATAGATTTTAGAATCTATTTCATTTTTTACCCCTTTCTTTAACCTAATTTTTGTTCCTATGTATAAATTTATCATATTTCACCACCGTCGTCGCCACCACCATCACCACTGCCACCAGCGCTGTCGCCACCACCACCATCACCACTGCCACCACCGCCGTCGCCACCACCACCGCCACAACCGTCGCCGCCCCTACCACCACCGCCGCCCCCACCACTGCCACTGCCACCATCACCACTACCACCCCAGCACCACCACCGCCATCACCACCACCATCGCCATCACCACCATCGCCACTGCCACCGCCGCCACCAGAACCGCCACGCAGCAACACCACTGCCACAACTGTCGCCCCCCCCACCACCACTGCCACAACCATCACCGTCGCCCCCACCACCGCCACCCCCACCACTGCCACCGCCACCACCACCACTACCACCCTATCACCACCACCACCACCATCACCACCATCACCGCCACCATCGCCACCACCGCCATCGCCGCCCCCACCACCACTGCCATAACTGTCACCGTCGCCGCCCCCACCACCACCACCATCGCCACCACCGCCATTGCCGCCGCCACCGCCACCGCCACCACCACCACCACCAGAACTGCCACCCAGCAGCACCACCGCCACCCCCACCCCCGCCACAACTGTCGCCGCCCCCACCACCACTGCCACAACCATCCACCACCACCACCACTGCCACCCCCACCACTGCCACTACCACCCTAGCACCACTACCACCCCAGCACCACCACTATTGCCACCACCACCATCGCCACCACCGCCACCGCCGCCACTACCACCACCACCAGAACTGCCACCCAGTAGTACCACCACCACCACCACTGCCACCCCCACCACTGCCACTACCACCCTAGCACCACTACCACCCAGCACCACCACTATCGCCGCCACCGCCACCGCCGCCACCACCACCACCACCAGAACTGCCATCCAGTAGCACCACCCCCCCCCCCCACCACTATCGCCACCATCACCGTCGCCACCACCACCGCTACCCCCATCACTGCCACTGCTACCGCCACCACCAACACTACTACCCCAGCACCACCATCGCCGCCACCACCACCGCCGCCGCCACCACCACCATCGCTACCATCACATATTTTTATAAGGGTATTTATGTCTTTTAAAACATATTTCATTTCTATTACTTAAATCAACCAAACACTGTAATATAATTCCTAAAGTCTATTCCTTCAGCGAACCAAACAATAGAATACAATTCCTATTCTATTCCTTGCCTATTCCATTCCTTATGGAATAGCATTCCTATTACCTCAAAATTCATTTCGTGAACCAAACATGCTGTGAATGCTTTAAAGTGGTCGTCAGCTAGTGACTTCTTTAAATGTTTAATTTTTATTTTATTTTATTTTATTTATTTTGGCTGTTAGTTTCTAAGCAATGCAATGGACAACTTTTTAAATTTTTTTTTATTTTTTATACCTTTTTTCTTATTTAATTTTGTTATTAAATTATTTAAAATTATACAATGTTATTTTTTAATGTAATATGTATTTTTAATAACATATTATTTGAATTGAAATTTTATAATTATTAATTAAATTAACTTTTGCCATGTTTAATTTTAAAAATATAATAATTATAATTATAATTACGACTATAATATTTAGAATTATAATAAAAAAGATTAGAATATATTTTTTGTAAATTGATTAGTCTAGAAAAGACTTGGAAAAAAAAAAACTTAAACTATTGGGGAATTTACAGATTGAGTGAGATAGTGGATGTTAATAGGTGAATTTTGAGACCCATAAAAAATTGCAAATAAAACTGTAAAAACTATTGATGTTGCCCCAAGTTCCATAGTTGCCTAGACAATGATGATAGAGTTCTACTACATGTACTATCAAATTCTATTATTTCATTTTTACTTAATAATGTGACAAATAAGGATGTAATATTTTCATCGTGTGAGCCCATATAATGTGTCTACATCAAGAATTTAGGAGAGGGATTAAGTATTAAAAATAAGAAATATGAGTCTATATAGCATATTCTGTGTTGATATAGTAGGAGTTCTACAATATGTACTCTTTATTTCTATTCGCTTTTTATTCCCAATGTGTTAATTAATGATTAGTTATCTTCATCTTGTGAGTCTCAATGCAAAATGTTAATATTAAAATTTTATAAAAGAGAGTAAAAATTGAAAGTAAAATTTAATTGTAAGAGTTGTATTTTCCTTTAAAAACGACTTGCTCAAATAACTTAGCAATTCGTATATATAACTTAAAAATCAATTATTTGAGCTACTAGCAGATAATATCGTGCGAAAAGCTACAAAACTCACTAGCTCAAATAATTGAGGAAATGTTTTCAAAAAAAAAAAAATAATTGAGGAAATGGCGCAACTTTTAATAACAAGACATTGATATGACTATTGTCTATTTGGTGAATTATATTCTGACTTGAACCCCACCTAAATTATTTGCCTAATTGTGCCAATCCAGTCTCATAATAGTGAGATGGGGCACATCAACTTTAATTTAAAGGTGTGTATTCAATCACGATTTTCATAGATATTTATGAATTTTAAAAGTTTGAAGGTGTTCAATTTAAACTTTTAAGAGTATGTTTTTAAAATTAGATTGTATTCAATCAAGATTTTTAAAGAGTTTTTAAAAATTATGTGATATTCGATTAAGACTTATGGAGTCTTTAAAAGCTTAAAAGTCATGTACTATTCAAAAAATTATGAATTTTTGTAAACTTTTTAATTTTAAGACATTTGTAAATTTTTCATTCTCAAATATAAATAGTTGAAATCCAACCATCAACCCTATGATTTCAAAATTTTCGTTCTACCAACTCTGAATGTTTTTTGTTTCTCTCTATTTAAACTCTATTTTTTCTCCATATTTAAACTTTATAAACCTTATACTTAAATTCAATAAATTATTTTTCTTCATTATCTTATATTTTCTTCGTACATAAACTCTACCAATTTTTTCTCTCTCCTAAACTTTACAATCTTTCTCTACAAATTTGAAATAATATTATTTTCGAGGAACGTAGAGATCCCATTGTTGCCTCCCTAATTTTGTATTTCCCATGCTCTTGCAAATCAGGGATTAAAATTAATTTGCTTCGTTTCTACAGTTTATAACTGATTTATGAATTAAATAGAGTCAATAATAGTTTTAAAAAAAAAAAACCAATTTATGAATTGCTTGATGTATAAATGGAAATTATGTTATGTTTTTCTATCTGGTGTTGTGGTTTCAGAGAAGTTTACTTCTTGTTGGTATGATTTGCTTTGAACATAATCTCATCACTTGTACGTTTCTTGCTAATTGCATAAATGTTTCCCTTTGTATGAATAAAATGGATAGTAATTATTATTTAACAACTATATATATAATAAGAAGAATTTTATGAGATATTATAATATGTTTTGTAAGAAAATTATAAATGATAAAGAGTCAAAATCATTCATAGTTTGTAAGAATTATTCAATTTAGAATTTCAATAACTTTTGTAAACGTTTTAAAACAAAAAAATTGATAAAAGTTTATGAATGTTCTTTATATAGACTATTATAGAGTCTTACAAAATTTTAAAAAGTTTTGAACGACTCTATGAAAGTCAATCAAAGTTTACTAAAATATATCATTTTAAAAGTTTTTAAAACTCTACAATTATTTTTGTAATTGTCAATTTAGTCTCTATTTTTTAATTTAATTTGAACAAATTTGATCATCAAATTATTTTAAATTTTGTCAATTAAACACCAATTTGACACTATTCTATCAATCGACTGACGATAGACTTTTCTATGTGGTAATTAAATTGTGGATAAGGGAAAATATAATTACTACTGACCAAAGACTTAAGAGCTTCCCTAATAGTAGTTTTATCATAGTGTTTGAGAAAAAAGATAGATGATATGAATGAGAGAGTGTGAAGAGAGAGATGAGGTGGGGTTCTCTAGCAAATATGAGGTACTCGTATTTGACACCCACCATAAGAGCATCCACAATGGTTGGGGAGAATTGGAGGATAATGTAAGAGTGATTAGGAGAGAGAATGTGGGAAGGGGAGAAAAAAAAAAACAAAAAAATCAAAATCAAAAATTAAAAAACAAAAAAAAATAAAAAGGTCAGGCGCGCCACGCGCCCGTGTGGGGGCCTGCTGTGCGCGAAACGCGCACAGCAGCGCCTCTTTCTTCTCTTCCTTTTTTTTCTTTTTCTGCATTCTCCTTGAATTTGCAGGAGAAATATCTCCATAAATAACTCCTCTCCACATTTGTTATTATCCCCACCCAAGATAATTCATCTGACATTATCCCCATAATATCCACTGATGTGGATGCTCTAAGGAGAAGAGATGCACATCACAATGCCAGTCGAGAGTGTAAATATGATTTTTTTTTTTTAATCACATTTACAAAAACCGAGTCCTTTGAGGATGTTTTAATTAATACGGAGTATATACACTTTTCAAAGAGCTTTGATTGTGTCTGATCAGAATGCAGAAAAGATGCATGTGATGTAGGGACGTAGGGTCCAAGTCCGTACTAGATCGAGCAACTGTACTGGCGCAAGTTGGAGCAATATTATCGGCATTCAATTCAGATCTTATCCTATCTGATCTGCTCTAAATATATATCTGGAAGAATAGAATTTGTACCTCTCAATATCACTTGCATAATTGCATTTCCAATGTCTTCACTGTGAGAGAGAGAGAGAGAGAGAGAGAGAGAGCTGAGAGCAATGACGATAGTGTTGGACAAAGTGATAGAAGAATTGATAACACAGAAGGTAATAGCCCTGGTCCAAACTGTAGAAGACAATGTGAAGCTGGTTCGTGGCATAGATTCTGAGATAAAGGATCTATCCTCCGACATCGAAACATTTAACGCCAGACTTGTGGAAGCCTCCAAGAATCCAAGGGCCAATGACCACCAAGTTTTGAGAGTAGTAGTGAAAAAATTCACAACTCTTGTGAATGAAGCACAGGATACGATTGCAAACTATTTTGCACTGAAGAAGAAGCATGGAGACGATGTCTTGTCAAAATCTTTTGATAAGATCCCATTTTGTGGAAAGATAAATGTTTATGCGAATGAGATCCAGTCCATCAGGGCTAATCTGGATAAGATCAACAAAGTCCACGAAAACGAACTTCTATACCTCATGAAGTACAAAATGAAAGACCGAAACAAGGCTGAGACAACTTTGCAGGTACCCCAAAATCTATTTCTAGCTAAGTTATCCTAATTCAAATTATTGGTTTCAGCAATTAAAATATTTGATCATATATTTGGTTGATGAGATAAACGTTAACATTTTCAATACCAACAGAATAGAGATTAAAATACTATAGACTATAATCAACCGCGTAAACTAATCCTATCTATCAGGAAAGTTATAAAGAACTAACATAATACAAAGATTAGTCAAAGATGTAACACAAATAATAAAACTAATAATAATATTGCTAACACACCCCCTCAAGCACATAAGGGTGATGAGCCACAACATTGAGCTTGTCACGGAGAGTTGCAAAACGAGGCCCCCGGCAACGGTTTGGTGAAAATATCTGCAAGCTGGTCCTTCGTAGACACAAAATTAACAACCAAGTCCCCAGACACAATCTTATCTCGGACAAAGTGGAAATTAATCTCAACATGTTTGGTTCTGGCGTGAAAGACAGGATTCGCGCAGAGGTAAGTAGCACCCAGATTATCGCACCCGAGTGTGGAAGGTTCGCTAGAGTGAAGCCCTAGTTCACAAAGCAGGGAGACAACCCACATGACCTCAGCCGAGACATCGGCGAGGGCTTTGTATTCAGCTTCGGTTGAGGACCGAGCCACCGTGCACTGTTTCCAGGACAACCATGAGATGAGATTAGTCCCTAAGAAAACAGCATATCCACTCGTACTTTTCCCGTCTACCGGGCACCCCGCCCAGTCTGAATCCGAAAATGCATGAATGACGGAGGAAGCGGAGACAGAAAGGCATAACTCGTAGTCGAGGGTGCCCTTGATGTACCGCACAACCCGTTTCAGAAGACTCCAATGATCATTCATCGGAGAGTGCATGAACTGACATAGGCGATTAACAGCGTAAGACAGGTCCGCCGAGTAACAGTCAGGTACTGGAGTGCCCCAACGAGGCGGCGGTACTGAGTTGGGTTGTCGTATGGTTGATCGAAGGGTGGTACTGGTTGAGTAACGGCAGCCGATGTGGCCAGCGGTTTGCAATCTGACATGCCAGCGCGGTTTAGAATGTCCTTCATATAACGGTGCTGAGACAACAGAAAACCCGTGTCTACCTTCAAGGTATCAATCCCGAGAAAGAACCTAGGTATACAAAGATCTCGAATCTTGGTGGTGGCAGATAGGCGTTGCAGCAGAGTAGAGATGAGCACGGAATCGTTCCCCATCATAATAATTTCGTCGACATATACAAGAAAGTATACTCGGGACGAGCCAGCAGAGTAGTGGAATAGGGAAACATCTGTCTTCGAGGATAAGAAACCTGTAGAGATCAAAAAATCATTTAATCGCTTAAACCAAGCCTGTGGAGCTTGTTTATGACCATATAACGACCGTTGAAGATGACACACATGATCTGGATGTGTGGGATGTTCATACCCCGGTGGCTATTTCATGTATACCGTCTCAGCTAAATGCCCGTTTAGGAAGGCATTGTGTACGTCCAGCTGGTGTAGTGTCCAGTTGTGTGACACAGCTAGAGAGAATAGGAGGCGGACGGTGGTCGGTTTGACCACATGGCTAAAAGTGTCGAAGAAATCTTCGCCTGCAACTTGATTGAATTCCTTTGCAACAAGACGAGTCTTGTACCGTTCTATAGAGCCAATAGCATTTCGTTTGGTGCGGAACACCCACTTGCAACCAACTACATTCATGTGTGGCTCGGCCGGTACAAGGTTCCAAGTGTCGTTGTGCAAAAGGGCATTGAATTCCTAGTCCATAGCATCACGCCACTGCGGATGCCCAACAGCCTGTGAGTAGCAGGTCGGATCAGTAGTTACATTTAGAGCATGAAACTACTCGTCGGTGCCGCGTGTCATGTGTCTAAGTCTCATCACATGCCCTCGTTCTTGGTGCTGAGTTCGGGTCGCCCGAGCCCTGGTTGGTGCCGGTTGAACGAGCCCTTCAATAGCCAATGGTACCGGATTGGTTACACTCGTATGAGCTATGTCCATTGGTGCCGCGTGAATGTTGCACGGAGCATGTGCCACAATTGGTCCGGAGGCCCACGGTATTGTGGCCGGTACGGGCTGTGAACTGTTGCACAGAGATGAGTCTGAAAAAGGAAAAATAGACTCGTCAAAGCGCATATGGCGGCAGATATAGATTTTTCCACTTGTTAGGTTCATGCATCTATAGCCCCTAAAGCTGGGAGGGTAACCTAAGAAGACACAGGGAGTTGAGCGGTACTCTATCTTGTGCCGATTGTAGGGCCGAAGATAAGGGTAACACCGGCACCTGAAGACTCGGAGAAAAGTGTAGGGTGGTGGAGTTTTATACAGGCGTGTGTATGGGCTCTCAAACTGCAAGATTGATGTGGGTAAACAGTTGATTAGGCAGGTAGCCGTTTCGAAGGCAAAGTCCCAATATTGTTGGGGGACTGAACCTTCAGCTAATAGGGCTAATCCGGTTTCAACAATGTGTCGGTTTTTGCGTTCTACTTTGCCATTTTGTTCGTGCGTGTACGCACATGACTGGCGGTGAGTTATACCAAGTTGGGTAAAGGTGTGATGTAGTTTGCGGTATTCCCCGCCTAGATCGGACTGAATATACTTGATAGAACGCGAAAATTGGCGTTCTACCATGACACGGAACGACTCAAAAGTTTTATATATGTCAGATTTTACCCGTAAGGGATAAAATCAGCAGAAACGCGAGTAATCATCTACAAATAGCATAAAGTATCTAAATCCACTAGCAGAGATTACATGAGCTGGGTCCCAGATGTCTGTATATAATAAATCTAATACATTTTTAATAGAATAGGGAACCCTATCTAATGGGAATCTAGAAGCTTTGCCGAGATGACACGAAGTGCACGATCCTAGCGACTTGACTTTATTTGGTGCAACCGGACACGACTGTAAGACGCGATTTTGAACATGACCATTCGGATGGCCCAAGCGGCGATGCCAAACCGTGGGTGTTTCCCGGGAAGTGAGATATGCAAAATGAGACCGAGAGACTGGGATCCTGTATAAGCCGCCCGATGTGGAACCTCTAAGCAATACCGCCCTGGTGATTGAATCCTTCACAATGAAACAATCTTTGTGAAATTCAACAAACACATTATTTTTGTTCATAAGATGGTAAACAGACAATAACGTAACAGATAATTTTGGGACATGTAAAACATTAGACAAACATAACAATTTTGACTCGGATGGTATAGATGCACGACTAACGCGAGAAATTATCAAACTTGCGCCATAACCAACACGGAGGACGTCACTACCGGTGTACTCATCCGATTGGGACATCATGGATGCTCCGGGGTGGCATGGGCCGAAGCCCCGGTGTCTGGAAACCACCCCGCCATCGAGTTCGCTGCCGCCGAGTCATCACCGGAGACCACCAGGTGCGCCTGTGCCGGTGGTTGCGGTGCGTAACGTTTGTAGCAGTAGACCGCGGTGTGTCCCTGCGAGTGGCATATTTAGTTGAGCGGTGCACCACCACGTCCTCCACGCCCGCGGCCTTGATCGCCCCTACCACGGCCTTGGTTGCCATGGCCATTGCCACCCGAGCCACCTCGTTCGCCGTCACCCCCGTTGCGACGGCTTCGACCAACAAACAGAGCCGACGGAGCATCCACCAGTCCACCATCAGATCCGGCCGGGAAGTCCTCGGCGTGAATAAACTCCTGCGCTTGCAGGTAATCGGAGATCTTAGGAATTGTTACGGGTGTACCTGTCGTCGTGAGGGAAGACGCCATGGCGCGATATTCTGGACGCAAGCCGCGGAACACGAACATGTTCTGTTCGTCGAGTAAAATGGGGTAGTCGGCATGTGCAAGGTCTTCCACCAATAATTGAGCACGACCAAAGAATTCCACCGCACTGCTGTTGCCCTGCCGGAGAGAATGAAATTGGCCGAGAAGACTCAAGCACCGAGCCCGCGACGAACTCCCGAGCGCTGCCCCGAAGAACTCCCAGACTGCTCGTGACGTGGTTCTCTCGATGGCCAAATGCATGACTTCATCGGAAAGAGACGATATAAACAAAGATAGTATGGACTGATCCTGCTTAATCCAGACCCGGTATGCTGGATTTGGTGTCGGTGCCACGGTGGTTGCGTCGGAGACGGAGTCGCCGGAGGCTGGAACAGGTGGGATAGTCGGCGGTGGGCATGGCGTCTCGCCGTCGACGTAGCCAAGGAGCTCCTGGCCACGGAGGAACGGCACCAGCTGTGTTCGCCAAAAAAGAAAGTTTCGATACGTTAGTTTTATCGAAACGAAATGGTGAGCACTTGATAGGGGATTTGGGGTGGTGGTTGGAGGGGTTGCGTCGCCGGCGGTCACAGTTCGTTCGGACGAATTGGTTGACATGGTGGCCGACTGGCGTTTTTGGGAGAGGGGAGGAGGATCGGAATCGATCGGTGTAGGGAGAGAGGAGAGAGAAGAGACTTGGACTATCTGATACCAGATGAGATAAACGTTAACTATTTCAATACCAACAGAATAGAGATTACAATACTATAGACTATAATCAACAGCGTAAACTAATCCTATCTATCAGGAAAGCCATAAATAACTAACCTAATACAAAGACTAGTCAAAAATGTAACACAAATAATAATACTAATAATAATATTGCTAACATGGTTACATGATCGAATATATGGGGTTATATTGCCATATTGATGTGTTACGCAAGTTATGCTTTTAGTGTAGTTTAACTTTTGAATAAAATCTGAACATTTAATATGTAAATGATGTATTTTTGAATTTGGATCCACATAATAATTTGCCTATGTTAGGCCTAATGTAGTGTAAATATTATACAAATATATTATGAATTAATTTTATTTTTGGTCCTAGATTTATAGGTAACAATCCACTTTTAGTCGTTTTTTATTAAAACATCACCTTTTGGTTCTAGTATTATTGTGACATTACCAATTTTGGTTCTCTATAGACAAAATCGTTAAAATTTTGTTAAGTAGTAAGACATTTTGATCTTTTTAATACAAAGTGCGTTGACCCGTTATATTTTTTATGTTTTTTTTTTTTTTGAAAAAAATCACAATTGACGAGCAAAATGCCCTTGTATTTAACAAAATTTTAACTATTTTGTTGATAGAGGACCAAATTGGTCATGTCACCGTAATACTAGGATTAAAAAGGAATGTTCCGATAAAAAAAGGACTAAAAGTGATATGCCACTTATAAATCAAGGACCAAAAGTAGAATTATATCGAGTCTTGTTCCTTGATTCCTTTCTTATTCGTCCTAGAGCTTTCACATACTCATATTGCGAACAAATAGAGGCAGTTCTTGCTTGATCCGTTGCAATTCTATTGCGGTCGTAATGTTGGTGTTTTCATCGTCCTTGCACAAAAAAGGAAGAAAAAAGATTATAGAGCACAATAAAGTCTTGCAGCAATCAAGTTACAAATTTAATTCCTATGATTATTAGGGCTGATGCCTGATGGGCATTTTAGATGGTTAAAATTGTATAAGGTATTTGCTTCTAGGTTCAAAAGCAAAATTTAGAATTTGTTTAAAGATAGTTTGAACATTGAATTGAAGGGTATCTATAACACGTATTATTTACAAATGATTTTTATTTTTTTTAATAAAAACATACTTTATTAGAAAATAAAAGAAAGGCCGAAGCCAAAACAAAGTCCAAAGGATTAGACCCCACATGGCCTAAATTCTACAAATAAAACTAATCTAAGGAAGATAAAAAAAATTACAAACGAAGGCCCCCGGGACTATATCATGCGTGGCCCCAAGTCCCATGCTAGCCATATAACTAACACTAGACCATAAACTAGGCTAAAAAATGCTAATAAAATGCTGCTAAGTAATAAGTAGACTGCACAACTGCTCGGAAGATTTACAAATGAATTTAAATCTTTGTTTTATCATCTAAGCAGTTTTTTGAAGGATTATATATCATTTTAACACTATCAATACATTTTTTTTTTTATTTCTCTTCTTTAAATGTTCAGGTTCGACCACCAATAGAGAAAAATAAAGTATTGGGCTTTGAAGAGGATTTTCAAATTATAAAGAAGCATTTCTTAGAGGCATCCAAAAATTTCATTGTCATTCCAATTGTTGGAATGGCTGGTACTGGAAAAACTACATTTGCCTCAATGATTTTTGAAGACCCAGAAATTCACCGCAATTCCCTTCGCATTTGGGTTCATGTTACAAAACTCTATGATAGAAAACAAAAATTCATCAGCATCATATATCGAATTACCAAGGATACATGGGACTTTAGCACTATGACTGAAGAGATGTTGGAAGGTAAGATAAAGATCCTTTTAAAGGATCAGACATACTTCATTGTATTGGATGATGTATGGGAGAAAAAAGATTGGCAATATTTAAAGGATGCATTCCCTGAAAACTTAAATGGAAGTAAAGTATTGGTGACCAGCCGATATGGAAATGTGGTTGATTCTAAATGGAATTCTCATCATTTAGGAAAGTTAACTAATGAGGATGGTTGGTCGGTAATAAAAAATAATGTATTTAGTGCAGAGGAATGCAGTGACAAGTTATTAGAAAAGCTTGGGAAAAAAATAGCAAGAAAATGTAACGGATTACCACTTGCTCTAGTAGTGGTAGCTGGTATCCTACGCAGATGTGTAACTTCTGATGATTGGCGAAGAGTGGCTGAGAATCCACTTCTGGAAATTAATCGAGATGATCAAAACTATCACGAACTAGTAAAGTTGAGCTACGATGATTTGCCTCATGAGAAGTTGAAAAATTGCTTCCTTTATTTTGCATATTTTCCCATGGGACATGAGATTGCTACTTGGAAGTTGATTCGTTTGTGGATTGCTGAAGAATTCATTCCAACAATAGATGAGTGGGGATACTCAATAGAGGCAGAAATTGAAGCTAAAAAATATTTGAATGATCTTATTGATGCAAATCTTGTGATGGTGATAAAAAGAAGAGCAGATGGTCAAACCAAAACATGCAGGATCCATGACACATTGTACGAGTTCTGCAAAAGTGAAGCTGCAAGAAAAAATTTATTCCTTCTAATGGAGGAGGGGCAAAGATTAGACGAGAATACTTCTTCAACTCGTCGTCTGTGTTTTCACTCCTTTACTACACATATATTTGATGCAGAAAATAAATCATCTCGCTTGTTCCTCAATTGCTACAACAAAAGGAGTTTATCCCCATTTGGCAAACATATACATTCTTTGTTGCTGTCTTCCCCACAAAAGAGTGAGACTCCTTTTAAACAAGATCAATTAGCGGCCATCCCAAACATGTTTCCACTTCTTAGGGTGTTGAATATTGAAAACATTAAGTTCAATGACTTGCTGGATAAGGACTTGGCGAATGAGCTTTATAGCTTGTATCTACTCAAGTATCTTGCTATCTCAGGCAATCTCAATGTCCTCCCAAAATCATTCAGAAGTCTTCGTGAATTGGAGACTTTAGTGATCAAAACCACAGCAAGAACACTACAAATTGAAGGAGGCATATGGAACATGGAAAAGTTAAGGCATGTACGCACCAACACTTCTGCACAATTACCCTTTCCTCCACAAACAAATTGCAAAACTTACTCTGGAGGAAAAGACATCCACACACTTTCTACAATATCACCGGCAAGCTGCAGAGAAGAGATCTTTAACAAGACCCCCAATCTTCGAAAATTGGGTGTTCGTGGAAATTTAATAGAACTTTTTGAGGAAAAGGAGAATATTTGCTTGTTCAACAATCTTCAAAAGCTAAAGTGCCTCGTAAACTTGAAACTATATGGCCAGTACGACAAAGTGTTAACTGTCCCAATGCTAGACAAGTTTGCAAGTAGGCTAAAAAAGTTGAGCTTCTCCGGCACATTGTTTGAGTGGAAAGACATGGCAGTATTGGGGTCGTTGGAGGAGCTTGAGGTGCTGAAGTTGGGTGACTATGCATTCAAGGGCGAGACTTGGGAACTAAGCAATGATGTTGTTTTCATAAGGCTTCAATATTTGCGCATTGGAAGGACGAATCTAGTTACTTGGAAGGCCACAGAGGATAGCTTCCCAGCATTACAAAATTTAATCCTCAGAAATTGCAACGTCATAAAAAGAATTCCAGAAGTGTTTGCTAAGGTACATACCCTTAAGGTGATGGAATTATTTCACGTTAGTGAAAGTGCAACTCGGTCCATAAAAGAGGTACAAGAAAACGTAAAAAACGGTGGATTCAAGCTCATTATCATAACCTCTCAAAAGGTAAATGTTTTTCTTCCCATTTATTATTTACGCAAGAGCTTCTAAGAGCATCCTTATCAGTTGAGGTTATTTCTTAATTATTTGTGGGTCCTAGCATCCACCTCATCCTCTATCATCTCATTTAATTACAAAAAACCTTTTTCCACATAAATTTTGAGTTATTTGTCAGTTTTTTATGCATCCACCATTTAATCCACTATATTTTAATTATTTCTCTTATTTATTGAGACCACAAATATATCATACTTTGCAGGAGAAATATTTTTGAAATAACTCCTCCCCACATCAACTATTAACTTTGAGTGGAGAGAATTCATATAGAAATAACTCCTAAATAACTACTAGTGTGGATGCTTGAATTGCGCCATAAAAAAATAAAATTAATTCTTTGTAAAAACCTATGCAATCAAGGCTAATTGGGTTGAAAGTGAAGATCAATTTTTAAACTTTTAAAATACCCTTATGTACCACTGTATAGTACGGTTTCTGTTGAAAAGATCGAAAACATTTTCAAAGGTTCATTTTGTCTCTTACATATTGATTGTTGGACAATAGATAATTCCTACTAGTTCTGAACTCTGACACTTGATAGCTAGACAATGGAGCATCCATAATAGATGAAATATTTCGTAATTTTTGAGAAGTTTTTGTAAATGTGATTTGAAAAGTGAATATAGGAGGGGTGAGAAAAAAAATAAAGTAAAATTGATTATAATAATAATAATAATAATAATAATAATAATAATAATATAATTTAAGTCTGTCAGGCGTGCCTAATACGCCACCAAGCGCGTGTAGTGCTCGTGTGGGCATTTGCTATGGACGTTTTGCGCACATCTTCTTTCCTTTCCTCTGACCAAGTTATTGTTCCAATATTTTGTTTTTGCAGATAGTATCTTTTTCTTCTCTCTCTCCAAGTCACCAATTACTATTCCAAAAACCTGCCAATATCTTTCAAATTTTATTTTTTCTTTTAGTTTGAGTATGAAACTTTATTGTGTTAAACTTTAATTTTTTTTAAAATATTTATGATTGATTTATCTAGTTAGTATTATTATATATTTATGTGTTATAATTATTATGATTATTAAAATAATTAATATTTTATAACAAATCACTTTGTAATAAATTTCTGTTATTTTTAATTTTAAAAATGAAACAAACATTAAAACTATAGTTTTTTTACTTTCACCCAAAAAAAATAAAGAGATAATTTTATGATTTTTAGTAAAATATCATTAAAAAAAATTCTCAAAAATGAACCATTTTTCAAGAAAATATTTTTAGATTTTCAAACATACCTAAATGTAATATTAATTTTCCAATTCGTTATATATTGGATAGAATAAAATCTTCAGTTGTAAAAACAAGTAATCCTTTATTACATAATCTTTAATGTGTAATAATATTTAGGGAAAAGGGTCAAATAGGCTCTCGAACTTTAGCTTAAAAGTCAATTAGGCCCCTAAACTTTTTAAAGGTTCAATTACACCCATCAACAATTTATTTAGATGCAATGAAGCTCAAAAACAAGTTAATGACCTGCTATCACAGGTCAGCAGGTCATTAGGGTTCAGACCATCTTCCGGCGAATTTTCTGGCAAAAAAAAAAAAGTGACCAGCAATCGACCTAGATTTGCAGAAAATTTCGCCGGTCAATTTTTTGTCAGAAATTTCGCAGGTCATTTTTTTTTTTTTTTGCCGGAAAATTCGCCGAAAGGTGGCCTGAACCCTAATGACCTGTGATAGCAGGTCATTAATTTGTTTTTGGGTTTCATTGCACTTAAATGAATTGTTGAGGGGTGTAATTGCACCTTTAAAAAGTTTAAGGGCCTAATTGACTTTTAAACTAAAGTTCGAGGGCCTATTTGACCCTTTTCCCTAATATTTAAATGAAAAGAAGTTGTAAGTTATTATATTTTAAAACCATAATGCATTTTCTTCCAAAAAAAAAAAAAACCATAATGCATTTCTTAATTGTTTAGAGAGAGGGAGCAATGACGGCAGCCAGGGACACACTGATAGAGCAAGCAGTAAGCGAGGCGGTAAATCATCTGGTTAAATATGTAGAACAACGCTTGCGCTTTGAGAATGGTGGCCTAGACTGGGAAATAAAAAATTTGATCTCCGACATCGAAACTTTTAATGCTAGGCTCGAAGAAGCTTACAAGAACCCAAATGAATCTGTCAATGTTTTGATTGTGAAGAACTTCCAAACTATTGTGAATGAAGCCTGTGATGCGGTTGACAACCAGCGGACTATGTATTTTGACCATAAAGACAAAACCTTCATCAGAAAATTTTTGGTACCACACTATAGAAGAGAGGTCAAATCCTGTGAGACTGAGATCCAGTCTGTTAGGACAAAGGTGAACACGATTGACAATGAACACAAAGAGGAACTTGAAACCCTCACCAACTATGATAAGCCTCCACTAATTTTTCAGGTACGGGAAAAGCTATCCTCAAATTATATCATATTTCAAATTTGTTTTAGCAATTACTAAACATGATTATATATATTCATTCGGCTATTAATAATTTTATATTAAAAGCAAAGGAAAATGTTTAGTTAAAGATAAAAAGTCTCGTTCTTGTTCTTTGTGACAAGGCGTAATTTTTCTTGCCCTGTATTTGCCTATTTGGTATCCCTTTTTTGGGTCTGATGGCCGCGGCTTCAAGCTCTAGCTAGGCCGCTTGACGTTGGAGGAAGGGAAAGAGGGGGGTTTGCCTGTGAGGTAAGTAATTTCGCCATAGTGGTGGGTTAGTTTTAATTTGGAGTGATGGTGCGCAAGTAGATGACAAATCATTGTTACGTTATACCATGGACCAGCGTTCATATTGTATTGTGAATCTTGATATAAAAAATTTGTACCTTCAGTTAACTATCTATAGTTAACTGTTATTGTACAAGTAAACAAATAACTTGATAATTGTTGACACATAATATAATAGCTACAAGTATAGAAACTATCAACTGCACGCAAGGTTGAAAAATCGCTAGGCGCCGAATTTATTATTTTATTTTATTTTAATTTTTTTTAAAAAATTAGTTAACTCCCGCCTAGGCGGTTGGCCGCCGCCTAGCGCCTGGGCACCGATTCACAATTTTTGCAACATTGACTGCATGTACATAATGATTCAACTATTGATCCAGAATCTGAAGGCTATTTTTGGACCAGCGTCTACAATGCAAGGTAGACCATGACCCATGGTATAATTTTCCCTACCAAATTATCTCATTAACAAGGTCCATTTTGCATTGTAAACTCTGGTCCAAAATAATATTCAAATTATGATCTGACCTACAAGTAAAATAGCATATTATGTGCATACAATTAACAGATTATGTATTCGTAAATAAATTGAAGACACATAATATATTAACTGATGGATATATTGGACCTGGAACGAATCGACCCAAAGAGACGGACCCGAGGCGCCTCGGTCCAACCCCTTGGGCCGTGGCCGGGTCGGCCCAAAGCAACTCGGCCATGGGCCGAGCCTAGCCACGGACGAGCTCGGTGCACCCGAACTCGTCACCATGGACCCAGCTACTGCCGAGCCAAGCCGGTCCATGGTGGACTCGGCTAGGCCGAGCTCGGCCATGCCGAGTCGCCCCGCTTTGGACCCGGTCCCGGAGGGGACACGGTCAAAGCGGGCCGGTCTAACCACCCCTGGTTCCAGGGGTGCGGTTGAGGGTTGAGCTTGTATAAAAGCCTCCCTCCTTGTCCTAACAAGGGACCTGATCATTATTTGACACAACATATTTCTAAACTACTATTTTATAGCATTATTGTCCTAATCAAGCCTTGTAATAACTTATTAGCGATATTCAATATAATCTACGGTCCCCGCGACCTTACTATATACTTGCGTTACATTATTTATTTCGTACATACTCTTATCCGGGTTTAATAATTCGGGCCACCCCGGGTGAATTAAATCCATCATTGGTGTTCTTGTTGAGAGCTGCTGTACCAGCTCAAACGTGTTCTATATTCAGTGGTCCACCACGACCAGCTACCATGACAAGGTCGAGATCCAACTCTCGACCACACCAATGGTTCCCGTGGCACCCAGCTCGGCGCAACCGGGAACGGCCCCAACGGGGCCCCTAGCCTCCAACCGGCCGCATCCACCAGGCGGGGCGGACTTGAGAGATCACCTCACATACCATCGCAGCGGTGGGGTGCCGGCTTCCATCGCCCCTCCTCCAAATCTCGCCTCGCTACAGGAGGGGGCGGTTACCCATTAGCAATCCTCTACGACTTTGGCTCACCTCACACAGGGTCCCCAAGGAGGTGCACACGACGGTCCGGAGGCCACACAAAGGACGCCAACCCCGCCTCCACCTCCCTCAAGGGGGCGCACCGGTCCAAGCACCCGGCTACCCCGAGCACTCAACGCTCAAATCGAAGAGGAGGTCAACTCACCCCGGCCATCGGACACGCGGGAAGGGGGTGCCATCCGCCAAGATCACCATCGAGAGGGTGATAGAGGGAGGTCGACCCATGTTAGGCCCGCCTTTGAGAGGCTGGGCAAGCGCGTGTCGGCCCGAGATAGGTTGGGCCCAAGGCCAACCCCCAACGCACTACAAGCGGAGGAATCATGTCCCCGAAGGTTGCCGAGTCGTGGCTTTCGAGCCCCGCCGCGGCAGGAATTTTTTTCACATAGGTCGCCGAGCCGCGGGCCCCGAGCTCTGCCGCGACGCAAGTAGGCCTCCCGAGATGAGAGGTCGGGAAAACGAATGGTCGAGCTCCAAGCACCCATCGTGACGAGGTCGAGCAGCTCCATAAACGAATAAACGAGCTCCCGGAGGGGATGGTCGCGCTCCAACAAGCTACCACCTTGTTGACCCGCCCCGTTGAGGGGCTCCAAGGAGGTGTCAAAGCCCTCCTGTTTGGCCCCGACGTCTCTCGAAGGGTGCCTACATTTACCCCGCCCCTCCCAAGGGGGCGTGATAGGTCGAGCACCCGGCTCTCCCGAACCCAAGGAGCTCAAATATTGACATATGTTCTTATTAACCCATGGTTGCAGTCGTGCGTGCCGTCCCCGACCTTGGCATTTACCTAACGGTAGTACATGGGGGACTCCCCCGCTCACTGCCTAACGGTAGAACATGTTATGGGTTGCTTGCCCCTTGACAAGGTCGAAGCCAAGCCGGTGGGGAGAACCTACATGGTCCCCCGTGATATACTCTACAAGAAGTCCTCCAATGACACCTTGCTACATTGCTTGTACCCCAACGAGGCGAGGTCAGTCATAGAGGAGATCCACAAAGGGACCTACTCGGTCCATAGGGGGGTCCGTCCCCTCTAATGATGTTTTAAGAGGTGGAGCGTCCTCTCCAATGATGTTTCAAGAGGTGGTCCGTCCTCTTCAATAATGTTTCAAGAGGAGAAACGTCTCCTCTAACGATGTTTTAAGAGGTGGAGCGTCCCCTCCAAAGAGGTTGCAAGAGGTGGTCCATCCTCTCCAATGATGTTCCAAGAGGTGAGACGTCTCATCCAACAACATATTAAGAAGTGGAGCGTCCCCTCCAACGATGTTTCAAATCCCTCCAACGATGTTGTAAGAATCGAGTACTCACCCGACCTCCTCAAGCGTACCCTAAGGGGGCACGAGGTCCGACCTCGCGTACCAACCCCGACGGGAGAGTCCGATGGCTTAGTCCCGCAGGACTTGGTTCATGCAGGTAACATACCCTAAGGGGGCACGAGGTCCGACCTCGCGTACCAACCCCTATGGAAGAGCTCGGTGGCTTAGTCCGGCAGGACTCCGCCTAACGGCTTGCGCACCCTAACGGGGCATGAGGTCCGATCTCGCGTACCAACCCCGACGAAAGAGCTCGGTGGCTTAGTCCGGCAAAACTCGGCCCAACGGCTTGCGCACCCTAAGGGGCACGAGGTCCGACCTCGCGTACCAACCCCAACGGGGGAGTCCGATGGCTTAGTCCGGTAGGACTTGGTTCATGCGGGTAGCGTACCCTAAGGGGGCACGAGGTTCGACCTCGCGTACCAACCCTGACGGAAGAGCTCGGTGGCTTAGTCCGGCAGGACTCGGCCCAAGCGACTTGCGCACCCTAAGGGGTCACGAGGTCCAACCTCACGTACCAACCCCGACGGGAGAATCCGTTGACTTAGTCCGGCAGGACTTGGCTCATGCGGGTAGCGCACCCAAGGGGGAACGAGGTCCGACCTCGCGTACCAACCCCGACGGAAGAGTCCGGTGGCTTAGTCCGGCAGGACTAGGCTCAAGCGGCTAACGTACCCTAAGGGGGCACGAGGTCCGACCTCGCGTACCAACCCCGACGGAGGAGCCCGGTGGTTTAGTCCAGGAGGACTAGGCTCAAGCGGTTAACATAAGACATTGTGCTAAAAAAAATGAATCAATAAGGGAGAGCTGATTGTCAATTCAAAACACCAATTCAATACAATGTGTCCACCTCTCAGAGGGGAAACATAAAATGTGCCCACCTCCGGGCGGGGAAACATGTTTAACGAAGCAAAGGCAAAAGGAAGTATCTCCCGGAGGGGAGACATAAAATGTGCCCACCTCCGGGAGGGGAAGCATGTTTATCAACGCAAAGCATGAAATGTGCCCATCTCTTAGAGGGGAGACATAAAATGTGCCCACCTCCGGGAAGGGAAGCATGTTTATCGAAGGCAAAAGGAAGTACCTCCCGGAGGGGAGACATAAAATGTGCCCACCTCCGGGGGGAGAGACATGTTTATCGAAGCAAGGTACAAAAGGACACACCTCCCGGAGGGGGCCATAAGATATGCCCACCTCCCGGAGGGGAGACATAAAATGTGCCTACCTCCGGGGGGAGAGGCATGTTAGGAAAAGTACAAAGCGGTGGAGCGGAAGACGAAACCCATATGATAAAGAAGGGATGACGCCAATCAAGCCGCTATCAAGTCTAATCCTTGAGGTTGGGGTCAGCCACGTTGGGGTCGGCTGTGTGGGGCTCGGACCCATAGAGTGCAACTCGTGTTTACTCTCCTACATTAACGAATATTCGGCCCAATTCGCCTCGGTACAACGAACCTCGGCCCAAGACGCCTCGATACAAGGCATCTCGGCCCAAGGGGGCTACCTCATGAGCTCGGCCAGGAAGAGGACGCCCAAGAGGAGGATGACTACCTTATGAGCTCGCTCGAGAGGATGATGCAGCAAGGGGACTACCTCATGAGCTCGCCTAGGAGGAGGACGCCCAAGAGGAGGACGACTACCTCATGAGCTCGCCTAAGAGGAGGACGCATCAAGGGGACTACCTCATGAGCTCGCCCAGGAAGAGGACGCCCAAGAGGAGGACGACTACCTCATGAGCTCGCCCAAGAGGAGGACGCAACAAGGGGGCTACATCATGAGCTCACCCAAGAGGAGGACGGCTACCTCATGAGCTCGCCCAAAAGTGAACTCAGAAATCAAAGTCTCATACACGATGCCAGGGAGTCCATGACTTGTTAGTATTCTTGCGGAAGAGAAGAAGTCCCGATTGCGATGGAATCACACCAAAGTCGGCCAAAGAGGAAGGAAGCGGGGCGGACGTTTTCCCGTGAGCTTGGGGTTGACCTTCGACTCGGGCTATTCTCCTTCGTTGACGACGATTCGCAACTCGGAGAGTGGGGGACTGATGATGGATAATATATTATGATTGGAGCAAACCGACCCGGGAAAGCGGAGCAAGAAAGTATGGAATAGACCCGGGGCCTAGTGGTTGGGCCCCGTGCTCGGCCCAAGGTGCCTCGGTCATGGTGAGCTTGGTCACAGGAGGTCGGCAAATTATCAACTCGGGGTGACCGCGTAGGAGTCGGTTCGCAATGTGTCTACTCTCTATCGTTGTCGATTCATCACAACGAAGAGAGTGGGGGACTCGTAATGGATATATTGGACCTGGAACGAACCGACCCGGAGAGACGGACCCGAGGCGCCTCGGCCCAACCCCTTGGGCCGTGGCCGGGTCGGCCCAAAGCAACTCGGCCATGGGCCGAGCCTGGCCACGGACGAGCTCGGTGCACCCGAGCTCGTCACCATAGACCCAGCTACTGCCGAGCCGAGCCGGTCCATGGTGGACTCGGCTAGGCCGAGCTCGGCACATGCCCAGCTCGGCCATGCCGAGTCGCCCCGCTTTGGACCCGGTCCCGGAGGGGACGCGGTCAAAGCGGGCCGGTCTAACCACCCCCGATTCCAGGGGTGCGGTTGGGGGTTGAGCTGGTATAAAAGGCTCCCTCCTTGTCCTAACAAGGGACCTGATCATTATTTGACACAACATATTCCTAAACTACTATTTTATAGCATTATTGTTCTAATCAAGCCTTGTAATAGCTTATTAGCGATATTCAATATAATCTACGGTCCCTACGACCTACAGTCCCCGCGACCTTACTATATACTTGCGTTACATTATTTATTTCGTACATACTCTTATTCGGGTTTAATAATTCGGGCCACCCCGGGTGAATTAAATTCATCATTAACTATAAACACATTATATGTCAAATAATGTATGCACATAATATGTTAATTGCATATAAATAATATAATACACTACATGTAATTATACAATTTACTTAATACCATCAAAATTTATTAAATATTATTTGTAACACACTTGAAATTTCTATTTCCTTGTAGATAGAGAAATCGACAGTGTATGACGGAGTGATAGAGGCTATAGAGAAGGTGGTAAACATGCTACACCAAAAAATAGAAGGCAATGTCAACATAGTGTCTGAGATAAAGGACATGACCTCGCAGATCAAAACGTTTACGGATAATTTGGTGAAAGCTTGCAAGAACCCAAAGGCCAATGAACACCGTGTTTTGAAAGTAATAGTAAAAAAATTCCAAATACTTGTGAATGAAACCATGAATACAGTTACCAAATACTTTGCACAGGAGAAGAAGAATGGAAAGAATGCCTTGGCAAAATCTTTGGATAAGATTGCACATTGTGGAAAGCCCAATGCCTATGCAAGTGAGATCCAGTCCATTAAGAAAAAAGTGAACAAGATTAGCGAAGACCACACTAAAGACCTTCTACACATCTTGGAGGAGTACAACAAACTTAGAGATATGCCAGTTCCCAAGGTACCACAAAAACTATTCCCAAATTATAATATTTCAACTCATTTGTTTCAATCATCATATTCACCTACATCAATATTGGAATTTATGTTTATGTTGCGCATATTATGCTTTTAAACATTTAATTTTATAATGAACCTTGTTTATTAGAAAAATGATCTTGAACTATATTTAAAAATAATTAATTATACCACCAACATATTATTTTAATATGTCTAAAATAATACAAAATAGATTGCTCTCAATGAGATTTGAACTCTACACGTTTAAGTCAAAAATAAGGTCATTTTTTACCATCTAAGCAATTAAACATGTTATTTTTCATGTAAATACTAATTAAAGAGCAATATAAAATGGGAGATATATAAAATATTATTTGTATAAAAAAAAGTTTGATAAGAAAAAAAAAGAAGAAGAATAAATTGATATGTAAAAGTATTTTCAAATTATTTTGATAAATATTAATAATGAAGAGTAAAGTTTTAATATTGAATTTTTTTTTGGTATGTAATATTTTAATAATTAACATTTTAGATTTTGTATTAAAATACATGTGCATGAGTTTATTCAAATAAAAGAAATTAATACTAACAATACTATTAGAAATAATTGTTGTATAGATCGAATTTAATAATTTTATTGGTTGTCTTTTAAGAAGATAGACTCCTAATTTTCTATGTAACACCTCCTTATATTTTGTTCTACTTCACACCCCCCTCTGTTTGGGTTTTCCTACTTTAGTACTTACCACAAATGTCTCTCTTCTTTCCTCTTGGACAATAGGTCATTGGCCCCATGGCTCATCATATCTTAGGCCTAATGTATTGTAAATATTATACAAATATATTAGTCTAGCAATCGTTATGCTGTGCATCCGTGTGCACCATGCATGGTGCACACGGATGCAAAAACGATGTCTTTTTGATTAAAAATGCGCGTTCACTTAAAAAATAAATTCAGTTTCGATTCCCCTCAACAACTTTATGTTATTCATTGATTCTGGATTTTTAGTTCATTGATTCTGGTTTTTTAGTTCGTTGATTCTAGACTTTTAGTTCATTGATTCTGGATTTTTAGTTCATTGATTCTGGATATTTAGACAGAAATCGAAACTGATTTTTTTTTTTCATTCATGCTGGATATTTAGTTCATTCATTATGGATATTTAGTTCATTGATTTTGGATTTTTAGTTCATTGATTATGGATTTTTAGTTCATTGATTCTGGATATATAGTTCAAATTATGCACAACATAATGCTGTTTCCGGGAATCGAAACTGTTTTTTTTTTTTTTTTTTTTTTTTTTTTTTTTTTTAAGTGGACGCGCATTTTTAGTCAAAACGATATCGTTTTTGCATTCGTGTGCACCATGCGGATGCACAACATAATTTACCTTAGTCTAGTTCCTTGATTCCTTTGTTATTCGTCTTAGTCTCTTAGAGCTCAATCATTATTGTATGGACCATGGTCCACAGAAGTTGTGTGAACCATATTTTGTCTACTGTAAAATAATGTACATTCAGTATAAAAATAATGTACATTCTATTCAGGGGATGTACATTATTTTTGTTCTGAGTGTATATTATATTGTATAATGTATATTCAGTACAAAAATAATATACATTTAATATATTATTAAAAATGTACTTTTTGTTATTGTCCACATCACATTGTGTGGACCAATAATTTGCCCTTAGAGCTCTCACATACTCATATTGTGCACAAATAAGGCAGTTCTTGCTTGAAAGGCATGTGTCAATTGCAATTCTATTGCGGTCGTAATGTTGGTTTCATCGTCCTTGCACAAAAATGAAAGAAAAAAATTATTGAGCACAATAAAGTCATGCAGTAATCAAGTCACAAATTTAATTCCTATGATTATTAGGGCTGATGCCTGATTGGCATTTTAGATGGTTAAAATTGAATAAGGTATTTGCATCTAGGTTCAAAAGCAAAACTTAATTAGAATCTGTTTAAAGATAGTTTGAACATTGAATTGAAGGGTATCTATAATAACACGTATTATTTACAAATGAATTTAAATCTTTGTTTTATCATCTAAGCAGTTTTTTGAAGGATTATCATTTTAACACTTGATCAATAATAATTTTTTTTTTTTTTATCTTCTTTGAATGTTCAGGTTCGACCACCAATAGAGAAAAATAAAGTATTGGGCTTTAAAAAGGATTTTGAAACTATAAAGGACCGTTTCTTACTGGCATCTAAGAATTTTATTGTCATCCCAATCGTTGGGATGGCTGGCACGGGAAAAACTACAATTGCCTCAATGATTTTTGAAGACCCAGACATTCACAGCAATTCCCTTCGCATTTGGGTTCATGTTACAAAACACTGTGATAGAAAACAAAAATTCATCAACATCATATATCAAATTACCAAGCATACAGAGGACTTTAGCACTATGACTGAAGAGATGTTGGAAGGTAAGATAAAGACTCTTTTAAAGGATCAGACATACTTCATTGTATTGGACGATGTATGGCAAAAAAAAGATTGGCAATCGTTAAAGGATGCATTCCCTGAAAATTTGAATGGAAGTAAAGTATTGGTGACCTGCCGATATAGAAATGTGGTTGATTCTAAATGGAATTCTCATAATTTAGGAAAGTTAAGCAATGGGGATAGTTGGTTGGTAATACAAAATAATGTTTTTGGTACAGAGGGATGCAATGACAAGTTATTAGAAGAGCTTGGGAAAAAAATAGCAAGAAAATGCAAGGGATTACCACTTGCTCTAGTAGTGGTAGCTGGTATCCTACGCAGATGTGTAACTTCTGATGATTGGCGAAGAGTCGCTGAGAATCCACTTTTGGAAATTAATCGAGAAGACCAAAGCAATCATGAACTAGTAAAGTTGAGCTACGATTATTTGCCTCAGAAGTTGAAAAATTGCTTCCTATATTTTGCATATTTTCCCATGGGACATGAGATTGCTACTTGGAAGTTGATTCGTTTGTGGATTGCTGAAGAATTCATACCAACAATAGATGAGTGGGGATACCCTTTAGACGCAGAAGTTGAAGCTCAAAAATATTTGAATGATCTTATTGATGCAAATCTTGTGATGGTGATAAAAAAAAAGAGCAGATGGTCAAACCAAAACATGCAGGGTCCATGACACATTGTACGAGTTCTGCCAAAGTGAAGCTGCAAGGAAAAATTTATTCCTTCTAATGGATGAGGGGCAAAGATTAGATGAGAATATTTCTTCCACTCGTCGTGTGTGTTTTCACTCCTTTACTGCACACATATTTGATGAAGAAAATAAATCATCTCGCTTGTTCCTCAATTGCTGCAACCAAAGGAGTTTATCCCCATTTGGTAAACATATACATTCTTTGTTGCTGTCTTCCCCACAAAAGAGTGAGACAACTTTTAAACAAGATCAATTAGCGGCCATCGCAAACACGTTTCCACTTCTTAGGGTGTTGAATATTGAATACATTAAGTTCAATGACTCGCTGGATAAGGACTTGGCGAATGAGCTTTATAGCTTGTATCTACTCAAGTATCTTGCTATCTCAGGCAATCTCAACGTCCTCCCAAAATCGTTCAGAAGTCTTCGTGAATTGGAGACTTTAGTGATCAAAACCACAGCAAGAACACTACAAATTGAAGGAGGCATATGGAACATGGAAAAGTTAAGGCATGTACGCACCAACACTTCTTCGCAATTACCCTTTCCTCCAAAAACAAATAGCAAAACTAACTCCGGAGGAAAAGACATCCACACACTTTCTACAATATCACCAGCAAGCTGCACAAAAGAGATCTTTAGCAAGACCCCCAATCTCCAAAAATTGGGTGTTCGTGGAAATATATCACAACTTTTTGAGGAAAAGGGGAATATTTGCTTGTTCGACAATCTTCAATTGCTGAAGTGCCTCGTAAACTTGAAACTGTATGGCCAGTATGACAAAGTCTTAACGGTCCCAATACTAGACAAGTTTGCACGTTGGCTAAAAAAGTTGAGCTTCTCCGGCACATTGTTTGAGTGGAAAGACATGGAAGTATTGGGGAAGTTGGAGGAGCTTGAGGTGCTGAAGTTGGATGACTATGCATTCAAGGGGGAGAATTGGGAACTAAGCAATAATGTTGTTTTCATAAGGCTTCAATATTTGCGCATTGGAAGGACGAATCTAGTTACTTGGAAGGCCACAGAGAATAGCTTCCCAGCATTACAAAGTCTAATCCTCAGAAATTGCAACGTCATAGAAAGAATTCCAGAAGCGTTTGCTAAGGTACATACGCTTAAGGTGATGGAATTATTTCACGTTAGTGTAAGTGCGATTCAGTCCGTAAAAAAAGTACAAAACATAACAAACGGTGGATTCAAGCTCATCATCATAACCTCTCAAAAGGTAATTGTTTTTCTTCTCCATTTATTATTTTAGCAGGAGCTTTTAATACGCCATAAAAGATTAAAATTAATTCTTTGTAAAAATCTATGCAATCAAGGCTAATGGGTCGAAAGTGAAGATAAATTTTTAAACTTTTAAAATACCCTTGTGATATACTATAGTACGGTTTCTGTTTAAAAGAAAACATTTTATTACAGAATCTGTTGTAAAAAACAATTAATCCTTTTATTACATAATCTTTACTCTTTAGTGTGTTAAAAAAAGTAATCAATTTTTTGTGTATCAATAATAAAAATAATAATATTTAAATGAAAAGAAGTTGTAAGTTATATTTTAAAACCATAATGCATTTCTTAATTCTTTAGAGGGAGGGACCAATTACGGCAGCCAGGGACACACTGATAGAGCAAGCAGTAAGCGAGGCGGTAAATAATCTGGTTGGAACAACAGAATTCTGCGGCTTTCTTGAGAATAGTAGCCTAGAGTGGTTAATAAAAAAAATGACCTTCGACATCAAAACGTTTAATGCTAGGCTCGAGGAAGCTTACAAGAACCCAACTGAATCTGTCAATATTTTGATTGTGAAGAACTTTCAAACTATTGTGAATGAAGCCCAGGATGCGGTTGAGAACTGTTGGCGAAAGAATTTGGACCATGAAGACAAAACCTTCATCAAAAATTTTTTGGTACCACGCTATAGAAGAGAGGTGAAATCCTGTGAGAGTGAGATCCAGTCTGTTAGGACAAAGGTGAACATGATTGACCGTGAACACAAAAAGGAACTTGAAACCCTCTGCAACTATGAAAACAATGCTCCGCTAATTTTCCAGGTACCGCAAAAACTATCCTCAAATTATTAACATATTTCAATTTTGTTTTAGCAATTACTAAACATGATTATATTCATTCGGCTGCGCTATTAATAATTTATATTAAAAGCTAAGGAAAATGTTTATTTAAATATACAAAGCCTCCTCCTTGTTCTTTGTGACAAGGCGTATTTTCCTTGTTGTTTGTGACAAGTTTTGCCCTATATTTGGTATCCCTTTTTTGGGTATGATGGCGGCGACTTCAGCTTTAGGCCATATGACGAGGTGGATGTCAGCAATGTAGTTAGCATCCCTAAAGTCAACAATTGTGGTGTCAGCAAAGTTGCAAATTTGACAAAATTGTTAGCCACAATTGTTGACAAAGAAATTTATAGTTTGGCCTTTAGATTTTAGGCTATTTACAAAATAGCCTATAATCTTCTATTATAAATAAGGAGTTCATTTGTATTGTGATCATCCCATTCCAATCTCATCTTGTATCTCTTTGGATAGCTTAGCATAGCAAATTCCTCTTAGAGAGAAATAGAGAGTTATATTCTAACTCCTATTGTAATATCATTTTGCCAATAGAAAAATCCTTCTTCAAAATTGTATTATTGTGTGTATGATTTATTCTAAATCTTACACTAGAAATATTCTCAATATTTCTCGCCCAAGTTGTCATTGTAGTTAGGTGTTGTGAACACGTGTCGATCCTAACAACTGGTATCAGAGCCCCAGGTTGGTTCATAGATATATCTTTATTATATCGTTTATGTTAGAACTCATTCTGGTAAAGTGATTGTACATGTCTAGGAAAAGCTCTGGTTAAGACTTGATATTTAAGCCGTCCGTCCGTTTGTAACTCACCTCTCTTCTCCAGTAGAAGTATTTTCCTGGTGTACTGTTCACGAGACCGGTAGTGTTCTATTATACGATACTATTTGGATATATTGTTCAGGATTTGAATCAAGAACACCACTTACAATAGCGGCAAAGTATGGTATTGAAAAGTTCAATGGGAGCAATTTCTCATTGTGGAAAATGAGAATAAAAGCAGTTCTCAGGAAAGATAACTGCGTAGCAGCAATTGAAGAAAGACCAGCCGACTTTACTGACAATGCCAAGTGGACAGAAATGGATAGCAACCCTATTGCTAATCTTCACTTAGCACTTCCTGATGAAATTTTGTCAACTGTGAAAAAAAAGGTACGGCAAAAAAGATATGGGATACTCTCGTAAATTTGTATGGGCCCAAATCACTACACAAAAAGATCTTCTTGAAGAGGAAGCTATACACTCTCAGGATGATGGAGACATCCTTAGTAACTGAGCACATCAACACTCTCAACACTCTATTTTCACAACTCTTGACGTTGAGTTATAAAATAGAAGTGAATGAACGTGCTGAAATTTTACTCCAAAGTCTACCGGATTCATACGATCAACTCATTATCAATCTAGTCAACAACAAGGAGGTACTTGTCTTCGATGATATTGCAGCTGCGGTTCTTGAAGAAGAAAGTTGACGCAAAAAACAAAGAAGATAAAGTTGGAATCTCACAACAGACCCAAGCGTTGACAGTGACAAGAGGAAGATCAACGGAGCCTGGCTCCAGTGGGAGTCACAACCGAGGTAGATCAAAATCGAGGAGTAAGAAGAATGTCAAGTGTTTCCACTATGGCAAAAAGGGGCACTACAAGACTGAGTGTTGGCAACTCAAGAAGGATGCGACCAAAGGCAAAAATCCTGAGACATCAAATACTCAGGGTTGTGTTGTGAGTACATCGAATGAATGCGAAGTTTTATTTAGTGAAGCAGCAACAATTTTTGAAGGTAGGAGAAGTCTAGATGATGTTTGGCTCATGGACTTCGGAGTAACATGGCATATGACTTCACGAAGAGAATGGTTTCATGAATATGAACCTGTCTCTGGAGGATCAGTCTTCATGGGAGATGATCATGCCTTAGAGATTGCTGGCATTGGTACTATCAAACTAAAAATGCTTGATGGTACGGTTTGCACTATCTAAGAGGTACGACACGTGAAAGGCCTGAAGAAAAAAAATCTATTGCCTCTAGGACATTTAGATAGCCGTGAATGTAAGAATCACATCCAAGATGGGATCATCAAAGTAACCAAGGGCGCGCTTGTTGTGATGAAAGCTGAAAAGATAGCGACGAATCTATACATGCTTAAAGGAGAAACACAACTACAAGGAGAAGTAGCGGTTGCATCAGAAAATCTTATAGAGGAATCAACGATGATGTGGCATCAAAAACTTGGCCACATGTCGGAATAAGGTCTAAAAATTCTTGCTGATCAACATGTTCTTCCAGGACTAGAAAAGGTTTCATTACTTTTTTTGTGAACATTGTGTTACAAATAAGCAACATAGATTGAAGTTCGAGAGCTCCAAAGTAAGAAGCAAAGCTATCTTGGAGCTTATCCACTCCGATGTTTGGCAAGAACCAGTTATATCCCTAGGAGGTGCAAAGTATTTTGTATCCTTCATAGACGATTACTCCAGGAGATGTTGGGTGTATCCAATCAAACGGGAGCCGGATGTATTTGAAGTTTTCAAAATCTTCAAAACGCATGTGGAACTTGAATCCAAGAAAAGGATAAAGTGTTTGAGGTCGGATAATGGAGGAGAATATACTAGTGAATAGTTTGATAAATTCTGTCTACAAGAAGGTATCAAATGACAGTTCACGGTGGCATATACTCCCCAACAAAATGGAGTGGCAGAACGGATGAATAGAACCTTATTGGAAAGAACAAGGGCAATGTTGAGGACTGCAAATTTGGCAAATTTATTTTGGGTTGAAGTACTCAAACCGCTTGTTATGTGCTCAATCGGTCACCATCAACCGCAATTGATCTGAAAACGCCAATGGAAATGTGAACTGGTAAGCCATCCAGTTATTCTCACTTGCATTCATTTGGGAGTCCGGCATATGTGATATACAACACTCAAGAAATATCAAAACTTGATTCAAAATCAAGAAAATGTGTTTTCTTGGGGTATGCTGATGGAGTGAAGGGGTATCGCCTGTGGGATCCCGCTGCCCATAAGGTTATCATTAGCAGTGATGTTGTATTTGTAGAAGACAAGGTACAAAGAAGTGAAAACACTGGGAAAGATAAACCAGAGACAACTACAGTACAAACTGAAGGAAGGAAGGAAAAAGAAATTCTTGTTTCCTCTGAAGTAACAGTAAAGCATGATGAACAAGATCAAGCTGAGTCTTCCACTTGCGAAGTTTGACGATCAACTTGGGAGAGGAGACAAGTAGCTTGGCACTCAAATTATTCTATGGAATGAAATGTTGCATACTGTCTACTAACATAAGATGGTGAACCATTAACTTACCATGGGGCTAAGAAAGGTCCAGATCAATGCAAGAAGAAATTGAAGCTCTCCATAAAAATAAAACATGTGAACTTGTCTCGTTACCACAAAGAAGGAAGACTATTGCAAATAAATGGGTTTATAATATCAGGCGAGATAACAATAATCAAGTGGAACGGTATCGTGCTCGATTAGTTGTGAAAGAATTTTCTCAGAAAGAAGGAGTTGATTTCAACTAGATATTTTCTCCCGTTGTATGACTTACCACAATCAGAGCAGTCTTAACGATGTGTGTTGTGTCTGACTTGTATCTTGAGCAGTTGGATGTGAAAACTGCATTTCTACATGGAGAACTTGAAGAAGAGATTTACATGCTCCAACTAGTAGATTTTGAAGAAGAAGGAAAAGAGAACTTGGTTTGCAGGTTGAACAAATCTCTATACGATCTCAAACAGGCCCAAAGATTTTGGTATAAGAGATTTGATTCATTCATTTTGAGCCTTGGATACAAAAGATTTAATTCAGATCCTTCTGTATATTGCAAGAGATTTGATGATAATCAGTTTATCATTTTGCTGTTGTATGTTGGCGACATGTTGGTAGTAGGTCCCAACAATGACCGTATCACAGAGATGAAGGCTCAATTGGCTAGAGAATTTGAAAAGAAGGACTTAGAACTAGCAAACAAGATTCCAGGGATGCAAATTCAGCGAGACATAAATAATAGGAAGATTTGGCCCTCTCAGCAGAATTACTTGAAGAAAATCTTGCGGCGTTTCAACATGCAAGATTGTAAGCCAATTTCTACCCCTCTTTCTATTAATTTCAAGTTATCCTCAAGTATGAGTCCTAGCAACGAATCAGAGAGGATAGAGATGTCTCGAGTATCGTATGCATCAACAATGGGCAGTTTAATGTTTGCTATGATTTGCACTAAACCAAACATTGCACAAGCAGTGGGAGCGGTCAGTCGTTACATGGTAAATCCTGGTAGAGAACATTGGAGTTCTATTAAGAAGATCCTTAGATATACAAAGGGTACCTCAGATATTGCATTGTGTTATGGAGGATCAGACTTCATTATTAAAGGCTATGTTGATTCAGATTATGCAAGTAAGCTTGATTGTAGTAAATCCACCATGGGTTATGTGTTTACTCTTGTTGGCGGAGCAGTAAGCTGGGTCTCGAAATTGCAGTCAGTTGTGGCAACTTCAACGACAGAAGTAGAATACATACCTGCTACTCAAGCTAGTAAAGAGGCTATATGGTTGCAAATGCTATTGGAGGAGCTCGGGCACAAAGTAAGAAAATGACTCTATTTTGTGACAGTCAGGGCGCTTTGTACTTAACAAAGAATCCAGCATTTCACTCCAAGACGAAACACATACGAGTTCAATATCACTTTGTTCGTGAAATGGTGGAAAAAGGAAGTGTGGATATACAAAAAATACATACTAAAGATAACCTGGCAGATATGTTGACAAAGCCGATTACCAACGATAAGTACGTTCGTATGGTGTAGATCCTCAATTGGCCTAACAAGTATGCAAGCAGCATGGAATTGGCAAAAAGGAACATTGTGAAGATATGATTGTTACAATCTAATCTTCGAGTGGGAGATTGTCGGCAAAGTAGTTAGCATCCCCAAAGTCAACAATTGTGGGGTGTCAGCAAAGTTGCAAATTTGACAAAATTGTTAGCCACAATTGTTGACAATGAAATTTATAGTTTGACCCCTAAATTTTAGGCTATCTACAAAATAACCCATAATCTTCTACTATAAATAGGGAGTTCATTTGCCATTGTGATCATCCCATTCCAATCTCACACCTTGTATCTCTTTGGATAACTTAGTATAGCAAATTTCTTTTAGAGAGAAATAGAGAGTTCTATTGTAACTCCTATTGTAATATCATTTTGCCAATAGAAAAATCATTCTTCAAAATTGCATTATTATGTGTATGATTTATTCTAAATCTTACACTAGAAATATTCTCAATATTTCCTGCCCAAGTTGTCATTGTAGTAAGGTGTTGGATGGATTTCATGAGGTTACAAGTTTCCAAATGTTTGCTTCCTGCACGTGTTAAGTGCTTGGTGGGAACGTTGTGTTCAATGTTATGTTGTTTGAGGAGGCCGGGAGCAACATATATAGAGTGTGTGGCAATAGAGTTCTACTGCATGTATTTTAAAACTTGTACTCACTCATATTTACTTCCTGATATGGCAGATGCTGATAGGTTATTTTTTTCATGTGGACCCTTGTAATAGTGTCAACATCAAAATTTTAAGTGTGAGAGTAAAAATTGAGAGTAGAGAATGAGAGTATAGTACTTTCCGTGGCTGTATGGTTCCAAGTTGAGGGCAAGCGGCCTCCCTGTGTAGCCGGGCGTTAGGGAGCAGTGGCCAATGGGTAGTAGGTGACAAATCGTGTCAATGGAGAGAGAAATTGGCGACAAATCAGGGGACGAGTATGGTAAGTGGAGCGAGTTTAGACTTTAGAGTGGGAAAAATCAGTTAATGGAAACAATGGGGGATAGAAATTTAATTTATTTTTCATAACTCAAGGTGGGTTATGTGATTGTTTGAGATCTAGGGGTGTTTAGCAAATAATTGTTAGTGGTACGTTTGACTAGCTAATAGCATTAGCTGATTGTAGAGAGATGTTTAGTAAATTAGATGTTAGCTGATAGCTTATTACATTCAAAATGATATTTAAGTGTATAATTTATTTTTCTCAAAAAGCTTATCGAAAAAGTTGTTTTGAGTAATTTTTTGAATTTTAGTATTTTGGAATAATAAATTGTTACAAAAAACTGATTAACTAAAAACTCATATTACTTGTTTAATCAAGTTAAACAACTAATAGTTGTCAAATAAGTTAAAATTAACTAATAAGCTATGTTAGCAAACAGGACTCTAGAGGGAGGATTTAATGGAGTAGAAGTTTTGGTTTCTAAAAACTTTGCGTTGGCGGGTGTTATTTCACAAGCCCATCTAAGAATATGAATGTGATGACTTGAAACTGTTGGAGACTTGACAACTCGGCTAAAGTTTGTGTTTTAGTGGACCTAGTTGTTTCCAAGTGGAGAAAAATCTTGTTTCTTATGAAAGCGTTAGTAGATAGGAGTAAGTTACAACCTATTAAAATTAAATTGGGATATGTGGACTCGCGAAGATGTTTGAGGTAAGTAATTTGGCCATAGTGGTGGGCAATCGTTATGATGTGCAGTGGCGGATCCAGAAAATTACATGAGTGGGGGCATAAATATCAAACACCTATAATACGGTTTAAATACATTAATAAATTATAATAAAATGTTTATGATAGTTATGAATGAAGCCAAAAGTGTACTTTGGTATGGTGAAATTTTAAAACACTTTGAAATGTTATAAAAATATTTATAGCAAAATATTGTTGACTACATTAGCTAAATGATTCACAAAAAGGGTGGGTAGACCTAAAATAAACAGAAGAAGCTAAAATATACCAAAATGGTTTGTAGGTGAGATTTTGAAACCATGCCATTTCATATACATCATAGCCAAAGCTTAACCAACTGAGCTGCTAAATTACATAATGATCTTTACATATGAATATATATTAATAGGAAGATGTGAGTGGGGGTAGCTGACCCCACTGCCCCCATTGTGGCTCCGCCACTGATGATGTGCAACCGTGTGCACTATGCATGGTGCACACGGTTGCGAATGACGCCATTTCACTATGGTGGAGTAATGGTGTCGTTAGTGGCACCGTTTAACTCCACCAATCAATTTTATTTTTTTCACCATTGTTAACTGAGGTCTACTTCTTCTTCAGGTATTATGCATTTTATGGATATATAGTTCACTAATTCTGAATTTATAGTTCATTAATTCTGAATATATAGTTCATTCATTATGAGTACACAGACGCAGCGAACTGTCATAAGCCAAAACAGAGTACCAGTAACCAGTGTGAATATATAGTTCACTAATTTTGGATATATAGTTCATTAATTCTGGATATATAGTTCACTAATTCTGGATATATAGTTCACTAATTCTGAATTTACAGTTCATTAATTCTGAATATATAGTTCATTAATTCTGAATACACAGACACAACGAACTGTCATAAGCCAAAACAGAGTACCAGTAACCGGTGTGGATATATAATTCATTAATTCTGGATATATAGTTCATTAATTCTGGATATATAGTTCAAATTATGCACAGCATAACGCCGTTAACATAAATAAAAAATAATTTATTTTTTAAAAAGTCGGACGATGTCGTTTTTAATCGAAACGACACCGTTTTGCAACCGTGTGCACCATAGCACGGCATAATTTGCCAGTGGTGGGTTAGTTTATTTTGAGGTGATGTTGTGCAGTAGATGCCAAATTATCAAATCAACCAGGTTCAATTTGCATTGTGAACTCTGGTCTAAAATAACATTCAAATTATGATCTACAAGTAAAATAACATATTATTTGCCTACAATTAACAATTCATAAATAAATTGAAGACACACAATATATATTAACTATAAACACATTATATGTTAAATATATGCACATAATATATTAACTGCATATAATAATGCACATGTAATTATACAATTTACTTAGTACCATAAAAATTTATTAAATATTATTTGTAATATACTTGAACTTTCTATTTCCTTGTAAATACAGAAATCGACAGTGTATGACAGAGCAATAGAGGGTATAGAGCAGAAGGTAAACATGCTACACCAAAAAGTAGAAGAAAATGTCAATGGGGTTTGTGACATAGTGTCTGAGATAAAGGACATGACCTCCCTGATCAAAATGTTTACGGAGGATTTGGTGAAAGCTTGCAAGAACCCAAAGGCCAATGAACACCGTGTTTTGAAAGTAATAGTAAACAAATTCGGAATACTAGTGATTGAAACCTTGAATGCAGTTACCAACTACTTTGCACAGGAGAAGAAGTATAGAAATAATGTCTTGGCAAAATCTTTGGATAAGATTGCACATTGTGGAAAGCCCAATGCCTATGCGAGTGAGATCCAGTCCATTAAGGAAAAAGTGAAAAGGATTAGCAAAGACCACACTATAGACCTTCTACACCTCTCGGAGGACTACAACAAACTTAGAGACATGCCAGTTCCCAAGGTACCACAAAAACTATTCCCAAATTATAATATTTCAAATTATTTGTTTCAATCATCATATTCAGTTATTCCCTTACATCAATATTTGAATTTATGTTTATGTTGCGCAGATTATGCTTTTAAACATTTAATTTTTAAATCAACCTTGTTTATTAAAAAAAGATCTTGAACTATATTTAAAAATAATTAATAATTAATTATACCACCAACATATTATTTTAATATGTCTAAAATAAAATAAAATAGGATGCTCTTAGGGCCCGTTTGGAAAACAGGAAAATGACTTCTGAAAAATAACTTCTGAAAAATGAGTCATTTTCTTTTCCTGTGTTTGGCTGCAAAATGGAAAACTGCCTTTTGGTGTTTGACTCATTTTCTGGAAATGATGTAGAATTGTATAATTAAACATTTTATATAATTAATTATTTTATTTAAAATATATAAAATTTACAATAATATTTTAAATAATAATATTTATTTTTAAAATCAAATAACATTATTTATTTAAAAAATAAAAAATAATAAAAATATATTCATTGGTTTCCGGCGGAAACCAAGATTTGGTTTCCGCCGGAAACCATGTCATGGTTTCCGCGCAAGAAACCATATGGTTTCCGCGCAAGAAACCATATGGTTTCCACGCTGGAAACCAGATGGTTTCCTGTGCAGAAGTCATGGTTTCCGGCGGAAACCAAGATCTGGTTTCCGCCGGAAACCATGACTTCCGCACAGGAAACCATATGGTTTCCGCGCCGGAAACCAAGATCTGGGCGGAAACCAGATGTTTTTTTTTTTAAAAAAAAATCTTTGGTTTCCGGCGGAAACCTGCCGGAAACCAGTGAGCCTAAAAGCTAGAGGATGAAGATGCCAATGAAGATGAAGAAAGTCGGATATTTTTGACGTGAAAAAATGAAGAAGTCAATATCCGGAAAATGACTTTCCCTTTTTTTAAGGGGAAGTTGTTTTCCATAAAAATAGGCTCATTTTCCATTGACCAATACCTCATTTTCAGTTGACTTTAAATTTTCCTTCTTTCCAACATTGGAAACCTGGAAAATGATTTCCAGAAATCATTTTCCGGATTTCCAAACACACCCTTAATGAAATTTGAACTCTACACACCTAAGTCATAAATAAGGTCATTCTTTACCATCTAAGCAATTAAAAATGTGCCAAGATCGACCTTGTGGTCTAATGGCACCAAAGGTTGGACTCCTATATGAGAGGTCGTGGAAAACAGATACTACATTGTAATAGAGTCAGCAGTATTTCAAAAGAAAGAAACTAATTAAAGAGTATTATAAAATGGGAGAGATAGAAAATATTATTTGTATAAAAACAAAGTTTGATTTGTACCCAAATAATAATAATAATAAATTGATATGTAAAAGTATTTTCAATTTATATTAATAATTAAGAGTAAAGTTTTAATATTTAATTTTTTTTGGTATGTAATATTTTAATAATTAACATTTTAGATTTTGTATTAAAATACATGTGCATGAGTTTATTCAAATAAAAGAAATTAATACTAGCAATTGTCTAGCAGTACTGTTAGAAATAATTGTTGTATAGAATTTGATGATCTTATTGGTTGTATACTTGTATTTTAAGAAGATAGACTCCCAATTTTCTTTGTAACATCAAATACTTTCCTCATGTTCTCTATGTTATTATGCCTCCGGCAGAACGCGCGTATTAAGATGCTCCAATAGTTGTAAAAGTTTTTATAAGGACAGTTGATTGCGCTCACTATCAAAGGAAAAAAATTTCTTTCTTTCTATCCACCTTCTCTTCCAAATAGCACTTCAAGTGGTGACCATCAATAAATTCATTTTTCCACAACCTCACCATCAATAAATTAAAGTTTAAGAAATGATGCTCATCTAAATCAAACTTTAAGAATACCCCTTCCTCAAATACATTTTTGATCCATAAATCAATCAATGATCTTCCTAAACACAGTTCTTCTTGGTAATAGAGATGAGATTGATCAATCACAAAGTCTCTATTCTCATTCTTCTTTAGATTTTCCTCTTCTTGAACAAGTAAGGAGAACCTTGGACTTCTTTATGCACCAATATGAAGGAAGAATCCTTGGACATAAAATGAGCCAATGGAGGCCTCTACTTTCAAGAACTTTGACACTTCTCAGTTCCCAAATTGTTCTAAAATTCTCATATAAAGGAGTGTCATCCAAAGAATGGCATTTCTTATCAATGCCACACATTTCATCAACTTCATCTTTCTTGAGCACTTCTTCAATTGAATCATCTTCAAGCTGTTCCTTATTATCATTCCCTTACATCCCCACCTTATCTTCTCCACTCAAGGTCTCCATCTCAATGCACTTATCAAACACTTCATCATCTTGTCCTTCAAGGTCTTCACCTTCCTTTTCGTTCCTTTCAACCCCATGACCTTCATTAGGCATGAGCAACTCTTGTAGAATATCTTCATTAGAAGATGAATTTTGAATGGAATATTGAGTTGCCAAACTCATTCACTTGAGAAGACATACATATATATATATATATATATATATATATATATATATATATATATATATATATATATATATATGTGTGAAACATAGAATTATAGTAATATATTGTAATCTTCCAGTCTTATATAGATTTTCTTATTCATTGATTCTTCATCTCTGCTTTTGACTAACTAGCGAGTGGTTATTATTCTCTACTGGCCAGGTTTTAAATCTTTCAAATTCAACAGGGTATCAGAGTTTTCTGTAACACCCTCGATTTTCAACCCTAGAGCCTAGATTAAATATAAACTTACGTAGTAGAATAAACAAAAGGATTCTAATAAATTAATATCAAAGTCTAGAATCTATAACCATCTATTGGGGAATGTTACTTCCACAATGTAACACCCCCAATTTTCATACACTTGAGCCTAGTTTAAACATACCTTTACGACGTGTTTGGTTCATGGAATAGGTCGGGAATGGAATACCGTTCCCGGGAATAGACCTTTTCTATTGTTTGGTTTGTCTTTTCATGGCTAGGAATAGCACTCCCGGGAATGAGCTATATCCTTTACAGGGGGAATAGCCATTTCTAGGGGACCCCCTGGTATTAGCTATTCCCAAGTATTTGAGAATGACTTTTATACTCTAACAGCACGTTTGGTTCACGGAATGAATTTTGAGGTAATAGGAATGCTATTCCATAAGGAATTGAATAGACAAGGAATAAAATAAGAATTGTATTCTATTGTTTGGTTCGCGGAAGGAATAGACTTTAGGAATTTTATTACAGTGTTTGGTTGATTTAAGGAATAGAAATGAAATATGTTTTAAAAGACATAAATACCCTTATAAAAATATGTGATTGTGGCGATGGTGGTGGTGGTGGTGGTGGCAATGGTGGTAGCGGTGGTGGTAATGGTGGTGGTGGCGGTGGTAGTGGTGGGGGCGACGGTGGTGACGGTGACGGTGACGGTTGACAGTGACGGTTGTGGCAGTGGTGGTGGGGGCGGCGACGGTTGTGGTGGTGCTGGGTTGTGGTTCTGGTGGCGGTGGTGGTGATGGTAGTGGTGGCGGTGGTGGTGCTGGGGTGGTAGTGGTGGTGGTGGCAGTGGCAGTGGTGGGGGCGGCGATGGTGTTGGTGGTGGCGACGGTGGTGGTGGTGGTGGCGACGACGGTGGTGAAATAAGATAAATTTATATATAGGATAAAAAAAAAATTAGGTTAAAGAAAGGGGTAAAAAAGAGAATAAATTCTAAAATCTATTCGTGAGCGTCAGTAATAGGCTAATACCAGGGGGGGCCCTATTCCGTGAACCAAACGGGCCATAATACCGAAAATACCCTTTTGTGTGTGTGTGTGTGTGTGCGTGTGTGTGTGTGTGTGCGTGTGTGTGTGTGTATATATATATATATATATATATATATATATATATATATATATATATATATATATATATATATATATATATATATATATATATATATATATATATATATATATATATATATATCACCACCGCCACTAGCACCACCAACACCATCGTCACCATCGCCATCGTCGCCGCCACCACCACCGCTACCATTGTCACCACCGTCACCGCCGCCGCCACCACCACTACCGCCATAGCCGCTGCCACCGACACCGCTACCACCGCCGCCATTATCACCACCGCCACCACCACCACCATCAACGCCGCCACCATCGCCGCCACCACATATTTTTTATAAGGGTATTTATGTCTTTTAAAATATATATCATTTCTATTCCTTAAACCAGTCAAACACTGTAATATAATTCTTAAAGTGTATTACTTCCGCGAACTAAACAATAGAATACAATTCATATTCTATTCCTTGCCTATTTCATTCCTTATGGAATAACATTCCTATTACCTCAAAATTCATTCCGTGAACCAAACGTGCTGTTAAAGGTAGAAGTGCGGAATAATAGAAAGGGTAAAATATATATTAATTACCCAACATAACCATAAATGGAGATGCTACTCGGTAGCCACTCTCAATAGAGTAACTACCCGAGAATAACTAACATAACATTATACATTCAGGCCCAAATCCAATCGTCGATTTGAGTCTATAAACATAAAACTTAAAAGGGTCACATCATTATCAATACAATATTGTCTCAATGGGTTACTAACTAAAGTCAAACTAAACAATAAAACTATCAATATCATATCTCCTTTTCACCTGTGATTTTGTGATCTCACCTCCTACATACACTGATGGATTTCTCTCCTTTTTTCGACTTTAACTAAAAAAAATTGTCGCCTTTCTGCACCATCGCCGGTATCACACGTCGACGAACTTTCCTCTCTCGCTAGCGCAGGCCTTCGGTGGGATTTTTTGGTGAAACTTTCCAGATATCCCCTTCAGTCCTCCGTGACTATATCTATACGTGTGTTTTTTCTTGTGATGTATTTTTCTGGTAAAAATTTTCCAGATTGTTGTTTTGCCTTTCTTTGGAACTTTTGGTGAAGTTTGAAGGCTTTTAGGGTTCGTTGCCAAACTTCATTCCAGAATTTTTTGGTATAACCGTATTTGTTTCTTTATTTTGGTATACCATATTTATTCTGGAGGGTTTTCAAGTTTGGTGCTTTTTTATTTCCGAAAGCCTTTTTTGTTATTTACTTATCCTATAAGGGGATATAAACAACAACCATTTAGTGTTCTCGGTGTTCATACTTTATTTTATTCTTTGGATGTATTTGTCATTACTATGGGCTCTCTACTACATCCCCTTTGTTGCTCATGCTTTGTTTGCTCTGCCACTCTTGATGAAGATTGTTGTTGGCAAGTTCAATAGTGCTTATGTTGTTATGAGATTGTTCGTGTTAAGCTTTGCCCTTGGTGTATTCAACTTCATTCCCAAGGATTGTGTATAACATTGTCCCGCCAAATCCATCCAACATTGTTATCGATCATCTTGTTGTTTTTAATCTTCATTTATAATTTAGAGTAAGGTGGAGTGCATGTTTTAATCCACGCTTGGAACTTCCAAATGTTCCAATTTATGGGGATGTGTTGAAAATCAAGGAATTATGTTTGTCTATAGAGTTGTTTCTATTTATGAATAGGTGTTTAAATTAACAGTTATGTGTCTGTATATTCCGTAAGTGATAGCATCATCAAAACCTATACAAAATATAATTCCTAACACTAGTTAAGTACTTTAGAGGGGTGTATTCGATCAATCATGAATTTTGTAGAGTTTTAAAGACTTTTAAAATGATAGATTTTAATAAACTTTGATTGACTTTCATAGAGACGTTCAAAACTTTTTAAAACTTTATAAGACTCTCTAAAAGTCTATATAAAAAACATTCATAGACTTTTATCAACTTTTTATTTTAAAAAGTCTACAAAAAAGTCATTGAAATTCTAAATTGAATACTTCCTTACAAACTTTCAATGATTTTGATTCTTATCATTTACAATTTTCTTACAAAACATTAATTCGCTATACGTAGTAACCTGTTGTTAAAAAAAAAAGAAAAATATATATTACGAATATAAACATAAAATAATAAAAATCAAAAAATATATAAGTATTTATATGAATATTATGAAACATATACTAAAATTTGACGATGAAAAATTTGCTTTGTTCATGTATTTAGGGAGAATTAGAGATAGTTAGGGATAAAAAATTCATAGAAAAAAATAAAAACCAATATAAACAAGCAATAATGAAGTAAAAATAATATTATTTCGAATTTTTAGATGAAGATTCTAAAGTTTAGGAGAGAGAAAAAAATTGGTAGAGTTTAGGTATGACGAAAATATAGGATAATGAAGAAAAAAATAATTTTATTGAATTTAGATAGGTTTATAGAGTTTAAATGGGGGGGGGGGGGGGGGGGGGATAGAGTTTAAATAGAGAGAGAAAACATTCAAAGTTGTTAGAAAGAAAATTTGAAATCTTGGGGTTGATGGTTGGATTTCAACTATTTATATTTGAGAAGGAAAAGTCTACAAAAGTGTACAAAAGTCTTAAAATTAAAAAATCTACAAAAGTTCATAACTCTTTGAATACCACATGACTTTTAAAGACTCTTTAAAAGTCTTAATCGAATACCACACGACTTTTAAATACTCTTTAAAAATATTGATTGAATACCGCCTAACTTTTAAAGACTCTCTAAAAGTTTGAATTGAATACCTCCAAACTTTTAAAGTTCATAAAAGTTTTTAAAACTCTATGAAAGTCATGATTGAATACACCCCCTTAGTTTTCTAAAGGATATAATTTGCAAAAAGTATTTAACTATAAAAGTCTATTCACCCACCATTAGACATTTATCACACTTTTGGGACCATCAAAGCACAAGTTTGGTTCATTTGTGTAATTAGTGGAAGACAAAGTTAGTAATAGATTTCCCTCCTAGTGTATAAAGGAGAAGAGTGGAGTAGAGAAATTGCACAACTTTCGAACGACTATAAATCTTTCTCTCTCACTTTACATTTATATTTCTATTCTTTCTTAAAAGGTTTTTGCGCATCAAAATTGTCACTACTACAAATTTCTAAAGTATTTTGACTATCTAGTTAACACTTCAACAGTCTTAAAATGTTATGTTGAGAGATTAATCCCCTTTAGTCTATCTCAAAAAGAATTTTCTTCAAAATTGAGAACAAGTCTTAAAATTCTTTACAAGTCTATTTACTACCTCTAGACTTTTATCTCAACTCATGACAATCATAGTGCACGGATAAAGTCAAGAAATTAAATTTTCTCAGTATAAGTGTGGTAAAACAAATAATCTTGTGAAAAAAATTATAATTTTGTTTTCTAAGTAGAGTATGCATATGTATAAAGCTTTATAAAATTTGTTGATATATGTGAATTGAAAGGGGAGGTAAGATTATTTGATTGAACATGAATTTAATTACTGCGTGTAAAGAAGCTATTGTTTATCGTAAGTGCTTCTTTCGATCCCATTGTTTCAATAAAAATTAGTTATATTCCTTCAATTGTACTAATGATTGGGAAGTGAATCCTTGGCCTCCTCCCGCCCCACTTGATTAGTATTCATGATTTTTCAGGTTCGCGCAGAATTACGTGAAAACAAGATGGTTGGCTTTGATAATGATGATTTGAAAACCATAAAAACTCGATTAATGGAAGCATCCGAAGATTTTTTTGTCATCCCAATTGTGGGGAATGCTGGGACAGGAAAAACTACATTTGCCTTAAAGGTTTTTGAAGACCTGGAAATTCGGGAATATTTCACCCATTGTGTTTGGCTTCCTGTTTCACGAGGCTTTCAAAGAAAGCAAAAATTCATTGACATTCTTCATCAAATTTCCAACCAAACAGAAGACTTTAGCACGGTGTTAGAAGATGTGTTAGAAGCTAAAATAAAGGAAATATTAGAGGATAAAAGATACTTGATTGTATTGGATGATGTGTGGGAAAAAGAAGCCTGGGATTCTTTAAAAGTTGCATTCCCTACAAATATGAAAGGGAGTAGAGTCCTCGTGACCACCTTGAGCGGCAATGCAGTTGATTCTACCTGGAAATCTCATAGTTTAGTAAAGTTGAGCAATGATGATGGTTGGTTGCTAATAAAAAATATTGTTTTTGGTACAAAGGGATGGTGTGACACAAAAATTGAAGAGCTTGGGATAAAAATAGCAGAAAAGTGCAATGGATTACCACATGCTCTAGTACTAGTAGCTGGTATCCTACGCCACCGTATAACTTCTGCTGGTTGGCAACGAGTGGCTGATAATCCGCTTCTTGAAATTAAGGGAGAAGACCAAAGGTACCATGAGCTAATAAAGTTGAGCTACTATGATTTGCCTGATGAGAGGTTGAAAAGATGCTTCTTATATTTCGCATGTTTTCCAATGGGACATGAGATTGTTGCTTGGAAGTTAATTTGTTTGTGGATTGCTGAATATTTCATTCCAACTAAAGATGATTGGGGCCCTTTGGATAAAGAAGTTGAAGCTTCAAACTATTTGAATGTTCTTATTAATAGAAATCTTGTGATAGTAAAGAAAAGAAGTGCAGATGGTCAAATCAAAACATGTTGCATTCACGACACATTACATGAGTTCTGCAGAAGGGAAGCTGAAAGGATAAATTTGTTCCATGTAATGGATGAGGGGCAAAGATTAAATGCAAGAATTCGTTTGGAACGTCTTTGTTCCTACTACACTATGAACATAGTTGATGAAGAAAACAATAATCCATCTGATTCATTCTCCAATCTCTTCAACAAAAGGATGGGTCCACATCAAGATGGTGAGTTTCTTCATTCTTTGTTGTTGTCCTCCTCACAAAAGACTGAGATTCATTCGACGCCAGAGCAGTTGGAAACCATCCTAAAAACCTTTAAATATCTTAAGGTGTTGAGTATTGAATCCCTCAAATTTAGCTCGCTTCCAAATTATTTCCCACTCTACTTTATGAGGTATCTTGCAATCATAGGTGATATCAGTTCCCTCCCCATGTCATTGGAACATCTTTCACGTTTGGAGACTCTAGTGATAAAAACCACAGAAAGGGCACTACAAATTAATGGAGGCATATGGAACATGGAAGAACTAAGGCATGTGCACACCAACACCTCTACGCAACTACCCTATCCTCCCAAAACAGGCAAGCATGGCTGTAAACAAATAGATATCCGCACACTTTCTACCATATCACCAGGAAGTTGCACAAATGAGATCTTCAACATGACCCCCAAACTCCAAAAGTTAAGTGTTCGCGGGGATTTATCAGAATTACTTGAGGAAAAGCAAAATGTTTGCTTGTTCAACAATCTTCAAATGCTAGAATGCCTCGAAAACTTGAAGCTTCATGGCAACTCTGAGAAAGTAAAGTTGAAGGTCCCAATGTCTGATAAGTTTCCAAGAAGACTAAGAAAGTTGACCTTGTCTGCTACATTGTTTCAATGGAATGACATGAGTGTATTGGGATTGCTGGATAGGCTCAAAGTGCTCAAATTGGATGACAATGCGTTCTCGGGGGAAGATTGGGATCTAAGCAGTGATGTTATTTTCAAAGGACTTCAGTATTTGCGCATTGGAAAGACCAACCTCAAAACGTGGACAGTTGTGGAGCCAGAGAAAAGTTTTCCAGTTCTAGAAACTCTAGTTCTCAAGAATTGTATTTCCCTACAAAATATTCCACAGGGTTTTGCTAATGTGGACAGCCTTGAATTGATAGAACTGTTTGACGTGAGTAAAAAGGTGGCTGATTTTGCAAGAGAGATTTGTGAGAAAAGGCATGGGAAAACAAATGTCAAAATCAATGGATTCATCACTCCTCTCCCGTCACAAGCAACGGTAATTCTCTAACTTCAATTTCTCCACACTTTCATAATCTTTTTCGGAACTTCTAAGGTTTTTTTCTTTCTCTTTTCAAAAATTAAACAGTAAAGATGAATTTCATATTAGTTTTAAATTCCCATACAACTTCAAATTGTAAGGTGTGCTAAAACTTCATAAATTTGTACTTTTACAAGAAAAAAGAACTTTAATTGTAAGTTCTGTTAGATTTAAAAAATCTTTTGATTTAATTGAAGTGATAGAAGAAGAATTTGAATTTATATTAATTCTCTACAGGTGCATAACCTAGCATATGAGTATGAATATGTCAACACCAGTGGATTCGACTACCCTAACACCTCTATTTCATCACAAGAAATTGTAAGTATATTGTCTCGACCTTTTCTATTAGACGTAGTTGCCTCTAAGTTTTTGTATGTTTTAAAAATTTATAACATTAGTTGTAAGTTTTATTATATTTATCTTTTTTGAAACTTTTAAGGTTTTTTTTTCTTCAAAATTATACAGTAAAGATCAATTTCATATTATTTTTAATTTCTTATACAACATGAAAATGTAAGGTGTGCTAAAATTTCATAAATTTGTACTTTCACAAAAAAAAATAATAATAAATTACTATATGGATAGAAGTATTTTTCATTGAGCAAAATTGTCTTTTAAGTTTTTGTATGTTTTGAAATTTTTATAACATTAATTGTAAGTTCTATTAGATTTATGTTTTGATGGTGGGATTATTTGAGAGAATGAGTGAAAGATGCGCCAGGAGAGGTTGCAAAGCATGTTAATTATTTATTTAAAAAAGAATCGTGAATTACTAGAAAGTTTGCTTAATGTTTTTATTCTTTAAAAAAAAAAAAAAAAAAAAAAAAACCTTTTGATTGAATTGAAGAAGAATTTGAATTTTGTTATATTAATCCTTACAGGAACATAACCAAGCATATGGAGATGAAAATGTCAACACCAATGGATTTGAGCACCCCAGTACTTCTACTTTGTCAGAAGAAATTGTAAGTATATTTTCATGGCCTTTTCAACCATACACCATAATGAGAGACGTCTTTTAGCATTCTTGATTTGATTCGTTCATTTATGTGCGACCTATGCTAGTTTATCTATATATATAGTCCTTAAAGTAATACTCCGGTAGAAGAAGAGTTTGAATTATTTTCTCGTTAAATATATTATTCCAACAGGTACATAAGCAATCAAATGGGGATGAAAATGTCAACATCAGTGGATTCGACCACCCCAGCACCTCTACTTCATCACAAGAAATCGTAAGTATATTGTATTGGCCTTTTTAACCTTTAGGGTGATTTGAATTCCAAAGTGTGTATAACATATATACCTTAGACGTTGATGGATATATTGGACCCGGAACGAACCGACCCGTAGAGACGGACCCGAGGCGCCTCGGTCCAACCCCTTGGGCCGTGGCCGGGTCGGCCCAAAGCAACTCGACCAAGGGCCGAGCCCGGCCACAGACGAGCTCGGTACACCCGAGCTCGTCACCATGGACCCGGCTACTGCCGAGCTGAGCCGGTCCATGGTGGACTCGGCTAGCCCGAGCTCGGCACATGCCCGGCTCGGTCATGCCGAGTCGTCCCGCTTTGGACCCGGTCCCGGAGGGTACGCGGTCAATGCGGGCCGATTTAACCACCCCCGGTTCTAGGGGTGCGGTTGGGGGTTGAGCTGGTATAAAAGGTTCCCTCCTTGTCCTAACAAGGGACCGGATCATGATCTTGCACAACATATTCCTGAACTACTATCTTATAGCATTAGTGTCCTAATCAAGTCTTGTAATAGCTTATTAGCGATATTCAATACAATATACGGTCCCTACGACCTTACGATATCTTTGCGTTATATTATTTATTTCGTACATACTCTTATCCGGGTTTAATAATTCGGGCCACCCCGGGTGAATTAAATACATCATTGGCGCTCTTGTTGAGAGCTGCTGTACCAGCTCAAGCGTGTTCTATATTCAGTGGTCCACCGCGACCAGCTACCATGACAAGATCGAGATCCAACTCTCGACCACACCAACGGTTCCCGTGGCACCCAGCTCGCCGCAACCGAGAACGGCCCCAACGGGGCCCCCAGCCTCCAACCGGCCGCCTCCACCAGGTCGGGGACTTAAGAGATCACCTCACCAACCATCGCAGCAGTGGGGTGCCAGCTTCCATCGCCCCTCCTCCAAATCTCGCCCCGCTACAGGAGGGGGCGGTTACCCTTTAGCAATCCTCTACGACTTTGGCTCACCTCACAGAGGGTCCCCAAGGCACGACGGTGTAGAGGCCACACAAAGGACGCCGACCCCGCCTCCACCTCCCTCAGGGGGCGCACCGGTCCAAGCACCCGACTACCCCGGGCACTCAACACTCAAATCGAAGAGGATGTCAACTCACCCCGACCATCGGACACGCGGGGAGGGGGTGACATCCGCCAAGATCACCATCGAAAGGGTGATAGAGGGAGGTCGACCCATGTTAGGCTCGCCTTTAAGAGGCTGGGCATGCGCGTGTCGGCCCGAAATAAGTTGGGCCCAAGGCCAACCCCTAACGCACTACAAGCGGAGGAATCATGTCCCCGAAGGTCGCCAAGCCGCGGGCCCCGAGCTCTGCCGCGACGCGAGTAGGCCTCCCGAGATGAGAGGTCGGGAAACAAATGGTCGAGCTCCAAGAACCAATCGTGACGAGGTCGAGCAGCTCCGTAAGCGAATGAACGAGCTCCGAGAGGGGATGGTCGCGCCCCAACAAGCTACCACCTTACTGACCCACCCCGTTGAGGGGCTCTAAAGAGGTGTCCAAGCCCTCTTGCTTGGCCCCGACGTCTCTCGACGGGTGCCTACATTTACCCCGCCCCTCCCAAGGGGGCGTGATAGGTCGAGCACCCTGCTCCCCCAAACCCCAGGAGCTCAAATATTGACATATGTTTTTATTAACCCATGGATGCGGTCGTGCGTGCCGCCCCCAACCTTGGCATTTACCTAACGGTAGTACATGGGGGACGCCCCACTCACTACCTAACGGAAGAACATGTTATGGGTTGCTTGCCCTTGACAAGGTCGAAGCCAAGCCGGTGGGGAGAACCTACATAGTCCCCAGTGATATACACTACAAGAAGTCCTCCAATGACACCTTGCTACATTAGGTGTCAATCATAGAGGAGGTCCACAAAGGGACCTGCCCGGTCCACCGGGGGGTCCGTCCCCTCTAATGATGTTTTAAGAGGTGGAGCATCCCCTCCAAAGATGTTGCAAAAGGTGATCCGTCCTCTCCAATGATGTTTCAAGAGGTGATCCGTCCTCTCCAATGATGTTTCAAGAGGTCGTCTGTCCTCTCCAATGATGTTTCAAGAGGTCGTCCGTCTTCTCCAATGATGTTGCAAGAGGTGGAATGTCTCCTCCAACGATGTATTAAGAGGTGGATCGTCCCCTCCAAAGATGTGGCAAGAGGTGGTCCATCCTCTCCAATGATGTTCCAAGAGGTGGGAGTGTGGGACGTCTCATCCTACAACGTTTTAAGAGGTGGAGCGTCCCCTCCAACGATGTTTCAAGTCCCTCCAACGATGTTGTAAGAATCGAGTACTCACCCGACCTCCCCAAGCGTACCCCAAGGGGGCACGAGGTCCGACATCGCGTACCAACCCCGACGGAAGAGCTCGGTGGCTTAGTCCGATAGGACTCGGCCCAAGCGGCTTGCGCACCCTAAGGGGGCACGAGGTCCGACCTCGCGTACCAATCCCGACGGGAGAGTCCGATGGCTTAGTCCGGCAGGACTTGGCTCATGCGGGTAGCGCACCCTAAGGGGGCACGAGGTCCGACCTCGCGTACCAACCCCGACGGGAGAGTCCGATGGCTTAGTCCGGCAGGACTAGGCTCATGCGGGTAGCGTACCCTAATGGGGCACGAGGTCCGACCTCGCGTACCAACCCCGACGGGAGAGTCCGAAACTTAGTCCGGCAGGACTTAGCTCATGCGGGTAGCGCACCCTAAGGGGGCACGAGGTCCGACCTCGCGTACCAACCCCGACGGAAAGGCCCGGTGGCTTGGTCCGGTAGGACTAGGCTCAAGCGGGTAACGTACCCTAAGGGGGCACGAGGTCCGACCTCGCGTACCAACCCCGGCGGAGGAGCCCGGCGACTTAGTCTAGGGGGACTAGGCTCAAGAGGTTAACATAAGGCATTGTGCTAAAAAATGAATCAATAAGGGAGAGCTGATTGTCCATTCGAAACGCCAAGTCAATACAATGTGCCCACCTCCCAGAGGGGAAACATAAAATGTGCCCACCTCCGGGAGGGGAAGCATGTTTAACGAAGCAAAGACAAAAGGAAGTATCTACCGGGAGGGAGGCATAAAATGTGCCCATCCCCGGGAGGGAGAGCATGTTTAACGAAGCAAAGACAAAAGGAAGTACCTCCCGGAGGGGAGACATAAAATGTGCCCACCTCCCGGAGGAGAGACACAAAATGTGCCTACCTCCGGGGGGAGAGGCATGTTAGGAAAAGTACAAAGTGGTGGAGCGGAAGACGGAACCCATATGATAAAGAAGGGATGACGTCAATCAAGCCGCAATCAAGTCTAATCCTTGAGGTTGGGGTCGGCCACGTTGGGGTCGGCCGTGTGGGGCTCGGACCCATGGAGTGCAACTCGTGTTTACTCTCCTTCATTAACGAATATTCGGCCCAATTCGCCTCGGCACAACGAACCTCGACCCAAGACGCGTTGGCACAAGACACCTCGGCCCAAGGGGGCTACCTCATGAGCTCGCCCAAGAGGAGGACGGATCAAGGGGGCTACATCATGAGCTCACCCAAGAGGAGGACGGCTACCTCATGAGCTCGCCCTAGAGGATGACGCATCAAGGGGACTACCTCATGAGCTCGCCCAGGAGGAGGACGACTACCTCATGAGCTCCCCCAAGATGAGCACGCATCAAGGGGGCTACATCATGAGCTCACCCAAGAGGAGGACGGCTACCTCATGAGCTCGCCCAAAAGTGAACTCAGAAATCAAAGTCTCATACACGATGCCAGGGAGTCCAAGACTTGTTAGTGTTCATGCGGAAGAGAAGAAGTCCCGATTGCGATGGAATTACACCAAAGTTGGCCAAAGAGGAATGCAGAAGAGAAGAAATCTCGATCATGATGGATATATTATGTCGACTCGGGCTACTCTCTTTCGTTGACGACGACTCGCAACTCGGAGAGTGGGGGACTCATGATGGATATATTATGATTGGAGCAAACCGACCCGGGAAAGCGGAATAAGGAAGTATGGAATAGACCCGGGGCATAGTGGTTGGGCCCCGTGCTCGGCCCAAGATGCCTCGGTCATGGTGAGCTCGGTCACAGGA